CTGGGCCGCACTCTGGCTATTTTGTAAATTCTTGTCTTTTGCCTTTGTTTCATTTTAGAGGGTTGGGGTCCTTCAGTACTAGTAAGTGATAGTGACAAAAAGGCCTGTGCCTACCATGGGCCATGTCAACAGTACACCATCCAACAGGAATATCCTCCTTTGGTGTTCTTTTTCTGTTCTTTTGAAATTTGTTTACATTTTTCTGAGTAGCTATACAAATGGCAATTATGAAAGTCAGTTCAATGTTGGACATTTTCTGCATCTTATTTTCTGCTTCCTGCTGTGACCTTGCCTATGCTGAGCTTATTTCTCTTAGCTGTTACTTCTTATATTGCAAAACCCCACAAATTTGTGTGTGTGTGTGTGTGTGTGTGTGTGTGTTTGTTTCTCCTTCCTAGTTCTATGGTTAGATGACAACAGTAAAAGGTTGGTTTCTTACAGTACCTCACCAGGACTAGGACTAGAATGAGAAGGTCCTGACTCTTGAACCTGGCCTGCTAGTTGTCTCTGGCTTGATTACATTTACAAATAATTCAGAAAAACTATACTTGGGTTTTATTTTTGCTTTCATGACCATCTCCCTCCTTTCTCCAATCTTCTCTCCGTCCCTCAGTCACCTTTTCTCTTGAGACTTTCATTCGGACAAGACTCAGAGGAAAAGCACTGGGTATTCTTCCTTGATTTGGATTTATTATGTCCATCATTTGTCAGGGGCATATACTCCAAAATTTGCATTCCTCAAATTTTCTAATATTATTATAACTTATAATTCTCAACCAATTTATAATATACAATGGTATGTAACTGAAAACTACAAGTCTAGTAGACTTCTAATACCAGTTACTAAGCAAGCAATGATGGGCAGCAAACTCACCCGGTGAGGTACACCTACACACACGTGACTCTCACAGGACACCAAGACCCTGGACGACTCCTTGAAGCATTAGAAACTAGTAAAGGTTGATGCTGGAACTGCTGAAAACTTCCATTTTCTTGAATTTTATTTTCGTCAGGAATACTTGTTAAGGACTGCTAATAGTAGAGGAGGTAAACTAGGAATTAGATTTCTCTGCTTTTTTATAAAAGGGTGGGAGGGGAACAGTCCCCAGGTCATGATTATCTCCATCCAGAGCCTGTTTGCAGGAATTACGGTTTATCTGTGGGTGGTTCCTGCTTCTGCCTTACTGTGATCAGAGTTTTAAATTGCTTGAAGATAAAGAAGGTATGTTTCATTCCTCAGATAACTGGGGAGGCAACAATAGTAATTGTCATTTAGAAATTTTGCCTTCCTAAACTATTTTTTTTTAATTTTGATTTTGCACTGTCTACAAGAAACTTGTCTTTATAATAGAATAATTTGCTAGGGTGGGCAGATTATAGATAATATAATAAAAATTGCCGTTCACGTAAGAAATATAAAGTCTTGCGAAATAGAACAAACTTAGTAGCACGCTAGATTGCTCCCACTTCCTCCTTCCAAATATCCATCAGTTTTCTCTTTATGGCAGAGTTCACTTAAGATTGAGAGTGGATTCTAAGGAGAAGATAAAACAGAATAAAATAATAAGCACTACTAATAGTTCACATATATTGAGAACATGCTTCACTTAATCTTTCTGAGAACTCTATGATATATACCACTGTGCTGACAAGGAAAATGAAGAGACAAAATAGCTTGTTAGTGAGTGGAAAAGGAGGGATTAAGTCTAGGTCCTGCTCACTTGCAGTGTTAGATGCCTAACTACCCTGATGGTCTCTCAGGAAAGACAGAACCAAAGTAAGGAACAATTAGGGAAGAGAGAAGCCAAAGATGGTGGGAGAAAGAGAGGCAGTTTGAGTGCCCCCAAACCAACTTTCTAATTTAGGAGTGTCAACTTAGCACCCCACATGGGTGGAAGGGGTCTCCTATATTGAAGGTGTCTGAGGGGTTGACTGTGGGAGCTAGCCAACTTGGGGTGAATCCAAGTCTTGTTTTTAATCTCATGTGTTGCTCTTCCTCTTTATGAGAACTGTCACATTTATTACAACAAATATTAGTATGATGAAAAACATTTGAATTCCCCCATTTTAAGGAACAGTATTTCTCATTCATATGCTTTGCAAAATTCCTGAATACCATAAGCATTTGAACAATAGTTTGGAATTCACACAGGAGGGATTTGGGCCAGGTTAATATTTCTTCAAGGTGGGGGCAGGTCAGAAGTGGATGGGGTTTCAAGGTAAAGCAGGAAAGAAGCTGACTGAGCCTTATGGGCCCTTTGTGGAGTCACCATGGCCCAGGGCCCTTTCCCAAATTTATGCATTCAGGGAAGCAATTTTGATAGCTTTCCCATGAGTGTTCAACCATTTGCAGAGTAATCACAGTAACCAGACAATATGAATCATTAATTTCAACAAGCATTTGCTGAACACCTTTTTTGCTGAATATTCTCCTTGGAATCTTCTAGAATTTCTGCCCCCTTCTCTACCTGCTCTGTCCCTAAGGGACTAACATTTGTGGACTGCACCAACCAACACTCTGGTTTTTCTTGTGTTCGATTTGTAGACAGCACCAGCAGGAGATGGGAGGATAGGAGAATGAAGGGAGGTTATTCATTCCTTAAGCCAGAGGTCTATAACTATGACCCCCAGTCCATATCTGCCCTGCAATTTGTTCTTATAAATAAAGTTTTATTGCCACACAGCCATGCCTATCCATTTAAGTATTGTCTCTGGCTGCTTTTACACTCCAAATGACAGAGGTATTGTGACAGAGACCTTTCTGGTCCTTTGCAAAAAGAAGTTTATTGACTTCTGCCTTAGAAATAGCTCCCTCTAGGTGGAGTTTTTTGTTCTTAGGCAGCTCCGTCCATGATGGCTAAAAGCCACCACTATCAAGTGGCACTCCGCCATAGCTTTAGCCACACCACAGCTAGAGCTCTTTTTGAGTTCTGGTGTCCATCCCTTACCCGGCCACATGAAGGTCTGCGGGTACTTCTCACTGTTGCTAGTCCCTGGGGGGCGAGAGGGAGGGCAGCATCTTTTTGTTGTCCTCGTCTACTGCTGCACACACTTACTCCTTTCATGTCTCTCTGTCTCCTACCTTACTCAGTTGGATTGTGCCATCTGTGTCCTTCTGAGACTCTGATCTACGACATGCATAGTATTGTGTTAGAAGCAAAATGGGGAAAAATGAGTAAGGATATATATAACGCACATATATAGCTTTTATTAAGGTTTTTGTGAGCTGACGGTGACAACAGGTAAGGGACGGAGATAAGCTTGATACAAATGGCTATTGTATAAGGAGAACAGTGGTAAGGACATTATGAGAGGCAGACACAGAGAAGGGAGAGATCTTATCTGCTTGTTATTCAGGGACAGCTTCATTGAGCTGAACCCTAAAGGATGGATTAGTTTTGGAGAGGTGGACATTTTTGTAAATGAGAATTACAGAAAAGTGGACAGCATGAGATACTGGGGGAGAGAAATAATAATTATCCGTTTCTTAAGACACTTGGCAGAGAACTTTGGATGTCAGCTTATTTTATTCTCATAAAGACCCCACGAAGTAGTTCCTATTATTATTCTATTGACAGATAAGGGAACCTGGGCTTTTCTGAAAATGAAGTAACTTCCCCATGATTTACCACTTGAGGGGGAAAAGTAAGGCTTTTGATTCAGACTCCTAACCCTTAGCGATATAACAAAGCACGGATTGTCTTTCAGTGTCAGTTTAAGGCTGGTTCTACCATAGAAATAAAGCTGAGATGGCTGATTTTGGCCATATCTTGAAGCAAATCACATGTTGTGTGAAGGACTTGGGGCAGTGGTCTACAAATAGTGGATAGTCCCAGGGGCTTTTGCTCAGGCTAATGAGATGATCAGAGCTGTGTGCTTAAGGAAATATGACCTAGTCAGTGCATAAAAGCGCGGGTTTGGGTGAGACAGATCACAGAGGGATTTTAAAGGACAGAGTCAACACCAGAGGTAGGGTTGACAGATGGAGGAAGAACTGAAGCAAATTTAGTGTTTCAGGCCTGGCTCAGTGGTAATTAGGAAGCTGGTGATGTCAAGATTGGAGCTGGGAAACCTAATACGAAGGGAAGGCTGTAGAAGAGTGATTAGGAATATGATTTTGGGTATGTGAAGCTAGAGATACAGAGGACAGTCTCAGCTTCCAGAAAAGATTTTAATTTTCTCTGCACTTGGAGTACAAGTGGCGTTTATAAGAATGTTCTAGGCTCTAGATTATTGACACAAGAGTTTCGTGGTGAAACACATCTGTTTCAGTGGTAGGTATGAGAAAAGATAGGTATGAGAAAAGTCTGTTGGAGAAAGTTATGAGAATAGGAGGGACAATTACCCTTTGGTCATTGACTCCATAGAAGCACCACAGACCGGCGTCTTGGCATTTCTTCAGCCTCTAGCACTGAGGCTAATCTTTATGAAGTGCATTTCCCCTGTCCCTGCAGGGCCACTTAGGACTTTTTAAGACTAGTAGACTTTGCCATATACACATAGATTCTTAATATTCACTGGATGTAGATACACTACACTTAATTTGGTAGTCTCAGTTTGTTGGACTCTAAAACTATTCTAGGAACTGTCATCTGGCTTCACAGGCTTATAATGAAGCTGTGAAATGCTTTGAAAGTGTGTATCGCTAAAACAAACGTAATACACACGAGCTCACAACTTTTTTCCAGGAGAGACACACATCTCTCTAGTGTGTAATGCCCGGACTATTTTCGTCCTCCTGCGTTTCCGCCTGTCCTCTGCTACGGACAGTTACAAACGTGGTCAATAACTGTCCTGGGAGGACGTGATGCCCCCAGCTAAGGACGCACGCAGGTCAGAGATCTAGAAGGCAGAGGGATTTTCGGGGAGGAGCAGGGTCAGGGCATGACCTAGCACCTGGCAGCGCCGCCGATTGGCGGAGGAGAAGGTTGTTCCCTCAGGGCGGCCGCTGATTGGCTGCGGGACGAAGAGGCATGACGTCCTCAAAAGTTGAGCAAACACCTCCTCCTCCCGGCCCCCATCCCAATTTCTGCTGGGAATTCGGAGCCTACCCTCTCCGGAGCTCGGAGGCGGCGGGACCGGTCGGCACCTCAGAGGGGACGAGGTGAGGAGGGCCGCCCGGAGGGGGCTGAGCCGCCGGGCGGTGGGCTCAGCCAGCGCGATGCGCTTGGAGATCGCCGGCGAGGCTCCGACTGTCCCCCGAGAGCTGCGGGCGAGCTCTGCCTCCTACGCCCTGCGCGCGGGCCACCCGGCGACTCCGCGGAACCCAGTTCCCGGACCCGGCGAGGGAGAGGGTGGCGAGCTTTTGGGTCTCCCTTGCGAGCGTTTCCTTTGGAGCGAGGGAGGGCTGTCAGCGCAGTTCTGGAATTTCTGAATAGCAAAGGGAAAGGATGGCAATTAATTAATTTTTTTTTTTTCTTTTCTCTCTCTTTTGGGCCGGGGAAGCAGGGGCAGTTGTTGGGGAATAAAGGATAGATGTGGAAGCTGCAGAACGAACACCCTGTTAATTCTCGGACTGTATGCTTATTTAGGTTGGCTGGCGGCGGGATGTGGTTGATGGAGATTTTGGGGGGCAGCCCTCTCCCTTAACCCCAGCTTTCTCTGTGTGCGGTTGCCGGTCGACTTTCCCAGCTCTGGCCTGATTAGACAAACTCTGATCACAGACTCTTCAACCTGACCATCTCGGGCTGGCCATTCTCTTTGAGGTGGGGACTCCTCTCACCAACAACCCCTCCCACTCTCCCCCCTTCCCCCCAGCATACTGCTGCTCCTTGGCTATACTCTAACGGACCAAGAAGATTTAAGAAACTTGGGCACTCCTCAACTCCTGAGACTTTGCGGGGCCTGCCTGTCCAGTGTGAGCACCTAGTCCGGGAAGGGGCACAAGCAGGCGCAAGTTCCTCTGCCTGATTGAGTTGGGCTAAATGCCCTAACAACTTCCAGAAGTGATGTGTTTTTCAGACACTGATTTTAGGGGAGTGGGAGTGGGGTGGGCTTGGAGAGAGGAAAGAAGGAAGGGAGAGAGAGCGTTCAGTAACCCGAACAAAGGTGAACATTTTTTGATATTGTGGGTCATCACTTATCAGAATGTGGGGAAGTTGTGGCTATAATTATGCCCATGTAGCTACTCAGGGGACTAAAGGATCATTTACTCAGGTGGTAACTTTCACATATTTTATGGTAGAAATAAAAAGTTAACAGGAGCACTTTGCATGGATGCCTCTCTGTCTCTGCGTGTATATTTTGTCACTTGCACTCCCCCTCTGCTTTTTCCCCATAGATGAGTGAATCTAGGGGTATATTCTGGCAGTATAAACTTTGTGGCCATTCTGAAAGTGAGTTAGAGGCCAAAGATTTAGGCCAATTTTCCCTAGTGATTTTACCACTCTCCAGAAAATCATACTTGTTTTCAGTCTCACTTGTTACTGGTGTCAGCATTATCAGAACTTTACTTTGATTTATTTGCAGTGGAACCCTCTTACCCGCCTCCTCCCCCACTCCCAAGCTTTTAAGCCTTAACAGACCTTAACAGCTCAGGATTTTGGAAGTGACCTTTGGCATGTATGCAGTCCCCCTTTAACAGAAAAGTTTTCTAGGTATTCCTTTATTAATTATCTTATACAATAACATTGCATACAGTGGCAAGTATTCTTGGTGAGATCACAAGAAAATTCTATGGAATTAAGAAACTGTACATTTGGCATGGGAAATAACATTACTGTTTTCGTTGAATCTAAGATACCATCCATAATAAAATATATCCCTATTTTAGGGCTAAAATATGAAAAGTGTGAAAAATGTGTCATAAGTTTAATGAAATACTGTATTAAAATGCTAAGTTATATATCTTGAACACCCAGGCCTGAAGGGTGAAATTGAGGAGAGGGCTTACTGGGCTCCATTTTGTTTTCCTTGACAAATGAAAAGAAGGAGGGAGGGGATCAATGTGGAGCCATTGTGAAGTTCTTACTACATTGTGACAAAGAGAAAGGGAAGGTAGTATTTTCTATTAGTGGTGTGGTTGCGCTCACCTTTAAGGAGTAAGCAGGCTTGGAGCCTTCTTCTTTTCTTGACATTTATTAAGCATTAATGGTGTGCAAGATAGTACTCAGTACTTTGTGCATATTGGCTCAGATAAACTTCACAGTAGCCCTCCGAGGTAGATACTAATCTGAATCCATTTTGCAGATGAGGCACAAACAGGCCCAGTTATGTACCAAGGTCACAGAGTAAACATTTATAGTTTAGCAAAAAGACAAATAAGCAGGTAAACTTTTTGGATTAGAGTCCAATTTAAAATTAACTTTTGCATTCATCTCAATGATACTAAATTTGTGGGCTAAAGACCAGAAGAGTCATGGGTTTTAGAGATCTTTGGATGACTTTGAGTAGCTGCTTGAAAACATGAATATTCTTAGACCAGATTAATTAATATTAGTAGATTCCTCCTGCCCCAAGTCTGCTGGTTTTTTTTGTTTGTTTGTTTGTTTGTTTTTTAACATATGGTTAACTGTTTTATAAGGAATTTAACATGGAAGCATTAAAAGAATGTACCTACCTATGCAACAGGAAGTGAAAGTCTGGAGGATGGTGTTGCTGCTTGCCCAAGCCTTGTTCTGGCAAGCCTTGGGGTTGGGAGGTATTTGGATTTATTCTAGGCCATCACCAGGTGTTCTGTTAATTTGGAACCCTTTTGGGCCTCTGGGATTATTATGGTCTGGAAACCAAATATGTATTGTGGGTCACGACTCATGGTGGTGGAGCTGTGGCTTCTGCTCTTGAAGGCAGCTTTTACTTAGATATAATGTTTTACGAATACATCTCACAAAATCTGCTTCCTTCATGTGATTTAGGATGGTGATACAATCAGTGATCATAGTTTATTTCATAGTAACTGAAAGAAAATGGTGGGGTATGTATGGAATTCTGGGCTTGCTCTATCTATCTATCTATCTATCATCTTTATCTCTAATGACCATTTTTCTTTTCACTTCTGAAAAGGTTAGAAAATACCAAGAACATTTCAAAATGTCCTCCTTGGGGCACATTGTCATGTATACATTGCAAAGATAGATAATTTGTAAATTAAAAGAAGTTCTTAAGTCTTTCCCCCATTGAAAGAGGGGAAGAGCGGTATGGTGGTATCATAGAGATGTTCTATTGCTAAGTCCATCCACTCATTGTCCTCCTATCTCAGTGCATGTCTGTGTAATTCACTGTAATACTCCCATGACTTTTTAGAGTTATTTCAAATTCCTGATTAAAAATGCATACCTTAAAAAAATGTATACCTTAGTGCTGTTCTTGGTTTACAAAACATAGAGAAGAATCTTTTAAATTTCATTTTTATGCTATTTGGAACATTGGCCTTTTATGTGTTGAAGGAAACAGACTGTTTAGAAATTGGCAGGGGAAGTTATTTCCCTCTGCCATGTGACACTTCTCTTTCTACCCTTTATTCCTCTTCTTCTGATCCTCCTCCTTATTTTCCCTAGCTCTTTCTTTGTCTCTTCATCTCCTTTTCTTGCTTTCCCACCTCCTCCTCGCTCATCCTACAAACTGTCATTAGTACTGATAAGTGATCTCACTAGAACCAGTAGGTAAACCAGGGATCGTCGTGCATTGTTTCACTGAAAGCATTGCCAGAAATATACCTCACATTTACTGCCTGATATTCTTGGAAAGGCCCACAAAATTCAGGACAGGGAAATCTAACACAGCCCACCTAGACATTTCCATGAAATAGACACCTGCCATGCTCTAAGAACAGTTAAGAAATCCTCACTGCTGCAGTTTCTTGATGACCTTAGAATGAAATGAATTGTGGGCCTGGAAATTTACCATGTTGAGACCAAATTTCGAAGTTCAAGCAATTACTAACGCAGTAATACCTGATGCAATTAAATCTCTTGTTCTAAGTACCCAGAAACCTAGAATTTACCTTGGCAATGACTCAGGAAGGATTTTCCGTGGCCCATAGGAAAGGGATCGGTAGAAGCACCCCATGCTGGGGAGAGAACTGATCACTTACTCTACTAAAGTCGAGGCCGTATGAATCTAATTTATTTCAAAAACGAGCTGGTGGCAGTTAACATACATCAGATCTACATGGTGTGGGTCTGTAGGCTTTGGCGAAGAGAAAAATCCTGAGTGTTAAATATTAACCCAGGAATCCTGCTTCTGCTTAGAAGCAGCAGCTCTAGGCAGATTCCAGTTAAGTTTTTTCACCTGTAAAATGAAAATAATAGTATCTACTTATTAAGATTTTTGCAAGGAGGAAATGAAATAATGTCTGGAAAGTGTGCAGCATAGTGTTTAGCATAGTGTTTAGGTGTCTATTGTTATGTTTATTTAAAAACAAAGTTAGAATTATGATTTGAGAATTCCCTACAAAAAGTGAAAGTGAAAGCAGCTTCCCAAAGAAACGAGAGGATCTACTCCCTGCTCCGCTTCTTTTCTAGTCTCCACAGAAAGTTTGCCTTTGCCGGGCGCCTGGGTGGTTGAGGTGGTGAAGCAGCTGCCTTCGGCTCAGGTTATGATCTCCAGGTCTTGGCATGAGTCCCCATTTGAGCTTCCAGCTCAGCAGGGAGTCTTCTTCTCCCTCTTCCTCTTCCCCCTGCTGTGCCCTCCCTGTCTTTCTTTCTCTCTCTTAAATGAATAATCTTAAAAAAAAAAAAAAGAAAGTCTGCCTTTGCAAGTATATATGTGTGTATTATTTGTGTATATGTGTCTGTGTCCCCACACCATATTCCCTATCCCGGACAAGGGAGGTAGGGAGGAAGAGGTGGGATGATGGTCACTGGGGGAGGTGAGGCAGTGCTTGTAAATCAAGTTTGGGTGGAGGAGAGATACTAAATTATCTGAACGTGTTCCCTCATACTGGCTCCGAGAATTGGCTGCTAAGGATAGAGGATGCAGGGTCACTTGGTCACCTATGGTATGTGAAATAGAGTCCTGTGGGAAAGATGGGACCATTTCTAGGCTCATCTGTGTGTTAAAAACAAAACAAAACTCACTTGTCTTTGGTATTGGTTTTATTTAAGAACCATTGGGATTTAAGTCCTATGGTATTGTTGCAGTTTTTCCTTTGGTTTGGGGAAGAATGAGTGCTATGGACTTGGGCTTGAGTTTGGGCCTGATATAATCTCTTTTAAAAACAAAACTGTATAAGGGCACGTGGGTGGCTCTTTTGGTTGAGCCTCCCGACTCTTGATTTCTGCCTAAGTCATGATCTCAGGGTAGTGAGATAAAGCCGTGTTGGGCTCTGTGCTGAGTATGGAGGCTGCTTGGCATTCTGTCTCTCCCTCTGCCCCTCTCCTCTGCTCACACATGCTCTCTCTCTTTCTCTCTCTCTCAAAAAAAGGAGAATTTTAAAAACAAAGCTGTATAAAAAACCCAAAAATCAGATAGCGTATATAGCAGTCTTTTACCAAAATATTGCTCATCAGTATTTTGGCCAAGTGAAAGAGCCTGAGCTGCTTTTTTATCAGCATGTTTGCTTGCTGTGTGCATTATTTTTCTTACTGTCCCTTTTCTTTCTAAAGTCTTCTTAGCTGATCTCCTTGTGTTTGCTTTGTTCTTTTAATCTGTTGTGTTGTGACTTGACCTATAAATTTTCTATCTCAAATGGCAAGTAGTTGCTCCCAGAAAATCCACTTGTATGTGCCGCTGTTTAGACAGAACTTCCCCATCTGTAAAGTGGGTCTGGTGTAGAGATTGCAGTCTGATGTAACAGAAATGTGTTCATAAGAATTTTGATGTATGTTAGCAGTGATTGGTAGGAAATTTCTAGAAAGCGTGAAATTCAATTCCTTTATTTTTTTTTTAAGATTTTGTTTATTTATTTGACAGAGAGAGAGATCACAAGTAGGCAGAGAGGCCACAAGTAGGCAGAGAGGCAGGCAGAGAGAGAGGGGGAAGCAGGCTCCCTGCTGAGCAGAGAGCCCAACGTGGGGCTCATCCCAGGACCCTGAGATCATGACCTGAGCCGAAGGCAGAGGCTTTAACCCATTGAGCCACCCAGGCGCCCCTCAATTCCTGTATTTTGATGCCAACCTTAAACATAAAAAACTAAGACTTAGCATTGAAATGATCCAGCAGATTATCCTCTGAAATTGCTAAGTGTATGTAACCATTTGAAGAGGGACAGACTACTGTTTGATATTTATGCTTTAAAAATCTATATAGAATTGACTCTGTGCTGGCACATAGTAAGCCTCTTGTTTATTCAGTTTCTTGATTGAATAAATGAGTGGCATTATGCAATCTGGAGTAGCAGAAAACTGGTTGAGGCAGGTCTGGGTTTAATATAATAGGCGGAAGTGGTATGGAGAGGAAACCCTGAAAGGGGAACAGCATGTTTATAACAACAAAAGGGTGGGGGGGGGTGAGGGGTGAGCAGGGGTGGTTAGCACAGTGCTTCTTAACCTTTCAACACCTGTCATGGAAAAGCATGTTTGTTTTGTTTTCTTAAATTTCCAATTTGCCAGGACCAATACTTTTCTAAAATTCAGTAACATTGAATTACTAGAAAAATGGTCATGTGATATAGAGGTTTCCAAGAACTTCCTTTCTATTTCTGTGCATTGCTCATCCAGGACCGGTAAAGAGCAGGTCACCGACTGCCAACAGGCTGCCAGACACACTTTGAGTAGCACCAGTTTAGGGAATGGTCTGAGATGAAACTCCAAAGAGGTTGGAGCTGGATTGTGAAGAATCTTGCACACCATTAAAGGATTCCAGCCTTTGTGCCATCAAAATTGGCATAAAATTATCTTTTTGTATTTGCATCATAGGTTAACATGCTTAAAATTTTTGTGCTGAATACATGTTTGATGAAACATATTTCAAAAACTCTTTTGGTTTGGCATATATTGGCTAGTGTCCTATAATTTGCTCAGTACTTTTTTTAGTTTGGAAATAACCTCATTTGTGGAAATTTGGGTTTGTTGGGTAAAGGAGCACTTCACGTCATCCAAGGTTTCCCTCCCCTTTTCTCTATCTTGTGTCTGTTATATCTGAGTTGGTTGGATTTTACAGCAGATTTCTCAGGAGACCAGAAATGATCTGTGAGCCCTCCTGCCTTTGTTGTCCTGTTCTCTTACAATGTCTTTACAGTCAGCAGGTTTTAAGATGCTGCGAGTACAAAGGACCACACTGGGCAGGCTGGGGCTCAGCTTCTCCAAAGGGCTTCACCACAAAGCGGTGATGGCCCTGAGGAGGGAGGATGTGAATGCCTGGGAGAGGAGGGCGCCTCTGGCTCCCCGGCACATCAAAGGGATCACCAACCTGGGATACAAAGTCCTAATACAGCCTTCTAATAGGCGAGCCATTCATGACAAGGTAAATATTTCTTATTTTTTAAATATATGGGAATAAAATGAAAATCAAGGAGCATCTGAGTAAAAATGCAATGCTTATAAAATCAAGGAACATCTGAATAAAAATGAAATGTTCGCCAATGTACTTAAACACCACATGATGATATTCCTTTGTTTTGATTATAATGAGATTTCTAGTTAGAATTTTTACTTGAGTCCAGAATTTAATCAGTTAAGTATTTTTTTTTTTCCACCCTATTCCATGCTTTCTCCGGGTGAGGGATGGAGGAATTGCCTTTAGAAGGGGGTGACGTCCTTAGTCATTATGTCCATGTGCAGCCCTGGTTCTGGGACTGGGGAGACTAAGGCCACTAAGACATTACTACATTTCCTGGGAATAAATCATTCTCCTGCATAACCATCAGACCTAAAAAAATAGTAATTCCATAATACCATCTCACATAGCCCATTTCAAATTCCCCATTCTCTCAAATGTCTTTATGGTCTTTTATTTTAATTGAGGCTTAATTAAGGTTCATTGCATTTATTGTTATGTCTCTTTAGTTCTTTTAATTTAGATCTGCACACCCTTTTGATTTGTTTGTGTCTAAGACATTGACTCTTTTTGAAGAGTCCAGACTAGTTGATTTGTAGAATGGTCTGCTTCTGGGTGTTACTGGCGATTATATTCAGGTTAAAACACTTCTGATACAAATATTATCCAGGTGGTGCGTGTTCTTTCCACTCTATCACATCAGACACAAAATACCAGGTTGTCCCAAGATTAGGAATTTGTAGTCACTTGGCTGAGGTAGTTGCCACCAGGTCTCTCCATTCTCTACGTACCTTTTTCTGTTTGTAATTACTGAGTCTTCTGCGGAGTGATGTTTTGAGACCTGTGAATCTTGTGTTTGTTTCTCAGCTACCTTTTGCTAAAGATGTTAGGATACGTTGATGATCTTTCCTGAATCATTTTTTTACATGGAAGCTTGCAAAGTGATGATTTTCTGACCTTATCATTCTTCTAAATTTACTTGCTGATTTTCTTCTATAGAAAAGAGATTGCCCTTAGTTTTTTCTTTCTTGCTCTTTTGAGTATCATTACGGCTGTATGGACCTTTTTCATTTAATGTATGATAATCTATTAACCACTTTTTTTTAATGTCCCAGTTACCCCAAATTCGAGATAGAGGGTGCCTTTAAGGGTGCTCCTATGTCCTTTGGAGCACTTGATCTTTCTGCTTTCTTGTTTCCTGCACCAACAAATGGTCTTAGTCTCTTACCTTGTGCTTTTTATGCCTCGCACCTAGGATTAGCCATCTATCTCACCAGGGAGCTCTGATTTCTTTTAGTATATAGAAACCAAGATCTGATATCCGGTGTTAAGTGTGCTTATTTTTACTGAGATATTGTTGCTCTTAGCGCTTTTAGTGAATAGAGCTAAGAAATAAGATTACACATACATATACATATATATTACTTCATATTACTTCATCATGAATCAATACGGATATTTCCAACTAAAATTTTTAACATTGCAGGTTTTTCTTACCTTTAAAATTTTATATTTACATCTATTTTCTCCAGTAGTGAACATTTTAATTCTTTATAATATTAGGGCATGCTTTTTGTTTTATCTTGTATTATACATAAAATAGTTTTGGAATCATGATAACTATTATTATAACTAACAATAAACCTATAAATGTTAAGAGAGTAGATCTTAAAAGTTCTTATGCAACTGTGCATGGTGACAGATGTTAACTAGATTTATTTTCGATCATTTTGCAATACATACAAATATCGATTATTATGTTGTATATGTGAAACTATATAATGTATGTCAATTATACTTCAATAAAAAATAAAGCTATTAAATGGAGTTTAGTATTTTTTGAGTAAAAAAAGTGTTTCTGCTTTTAGAATATATCTCACAAAGAATATTCAGATTGCTGTATTCAAGTTATTTGAGTTATTCTTTCCATATAGTTATATTGTCAATGTGATATACAGTTGGATTTATGTATTTTTTTCTATACATTTTCAAGGTTGCCTTTAAATCCTTTTTGATTTAATTATGTTTTTAAGATAAGTGAAATATTTACAAGTTTCAAATGTTTGAACTATATAAAATGATGCAGTGTAGAAAGTCTTCGTATCTTAATCCCTTACATCCTGTTCCTACCCTCTCCATAGTTTACTATTGTCATTAGTTTCTGATCTATTATTCCTACGTTTCTTTCTGTAAAAATGAGACTGTGTGTGTGTGTGTGTTTTCTCAGTTTCCCCCCTTAGTCTTACATAGAAGGTTGTAAACTATACATACTCTATCTTGCCTTATTTGTTTAGTCATTGAGATATCCTGGAACTCACTCCATGTCTGTTCATGGAGATCCGCTTCATTCTATTTAATGGCTGTGTTTTAATGCCGTAATTACTCCATGATTTGTGATTTATTTAACCAGTCTACTACAAATGGACAAATAGATTGTTTTCAAAGAAACCAGGTATGAATCATGTTCACTCTTATAGTATCTGTCCATCTGTAATTTCCTTTAAAGTAGATTCCTAACTGGATTCATCTTCCTTTTATTCAGCTGCCACTTTTGATGCTCTTTTAATTCTGCCTGGATCATGCTAACCCTTTACTTAAAAGTCTGAAATGACTTCTGTTGCCTCCATGTACTAGCTACTCAATCTCATTTAAATGTGTAAACCTCAGGTTTCCCATTGATTAAATGACCATAATAATAATACCTACCTCATGGGAGTTTTCGGAAAATTATATGAGATAATTCCTGAAAAGAGTTTAGTAAAGCAAGTACTAATTTATTAATAAATGTCAATGATGATTTTTATTTTTTATCCAGTAAAGATCATATTCACCGTAATAGCCTTCTTTTCCAAATTGACTTATCCCTTATGCCCTAAACATCTCCTTACTTTCCTGCCTCCATATTTGTATATATTTCTTCAATTCTTTCTACTGATACTACCACCTTGCATCTCCCATCTCCATCTCTCCAAATCCTACCTAGCCTTTTAGATTACTTTAAAGTTTCATATTTCCTTGATAATCTCACCCAGGAATTAGATCTCAGTATCCATTAAACTAATGTATCACTTAGAATCTGCTGCTCATAATTCTTTTGAATTCAGCCTCATTTACTATGCTCCTGACTTCTTTTTACTGTATTTTGTGAGCTTCTTTATAGGAAGGATGTTGTCTGCCTTTTTAGTGTGTCTTACCATTTCATCTCTAGCACAGTCTGCTGGATGGAGTGGGGCAGTAATAAATACTAATTGAACCAAAAAAAAAAAAAGAAGAAAAGAAGAAAAGAAAAAAGTAAATATTGCAGATATATGTCTTTCTTTTAAAAATACACCTGAGTAATAAATTACTGTTTCGCATTTAACATTTCAGTGCATTGTTGATACAAAATATACATTTCACAAATATTTTAAAATCATATGTGCTAGTAGTTACGAGTAGGAGTAGGTGGTGAATTTTCTAATTTTCTTTTGCTATAAAAGTCAAACTTGTTAAATTGATCTTTGGCAAGAAAGTAAAAATACTAGAAGTAGCTATTCTACTATTTGTTCTGATCCATACAGATTTTATGCCTTCAAAAGATTGTGCCTTTAATTGCTACACTTATTTATTAAAGAAAATAAGAATACAACAAATTAGGGAAATGACTTTTAACCAAAATTGCATTCCCAGGAATATGTCAAAGCTGGTGGCATTCTTCAGGAGGATATTTCTGAAGCTTGTCTAATTTTGGGAGTTAAAAGACCCCCAGAGGAAAAATTAATGTCTAAGAAGACTTATGCATTCTTCTCCCACACAATAAAGGCTCAGGAGGCCAATATGGGCTTGCTGGATGAGATTCTGAGACAGGTAATTAGTGACCAGTAATCATAAATGTTAACATAGAAACAGTCTTTCTTTCTATCTTTAAATGTCAAGTGGAGTTTTAGTTTCCTTTCAGCATGTAGGAAATACATCATGTTATTCACCTCAGTAGGAAAGGTGATCTGTGAATTAGTGCTTGAATAGTTCTGCTGCTCTTAGGGCTTCTCTGCTGTGCGTGTTTGGAATTTAATAAGAGAAACCAAACATTTCATTCCTTTTGTACTGAAACGGAAAAAAATGATAGAAGTGTTCCCCCCAAACGATTAGCATTTTATAATGCCAATTGGTCAGATATTACCAAGTAGAATTGAGAGCTGAAAAGAGCTTCGGGGATCATCTAATCCACTTCCCTCGTTTCTCAGATGGAGCCCAGAGAGGTGAAGTGACTAGACTGAGGTTTGCATAGCTCTTAGTGCCAGAACTGGACTGGGAATTATTTTTACATTTATTATCATTCATGAAGGAAGAAATCATTTTTTGAGATATAAGTACTATACAAAAACTCTAAAGTAGTCATTCAACAAATACTTAGTGTCTGCATTGTGACTGACCCTCTTCACTGCAGTGGCAATGAAGTAACTCTGTCTTCACAGAGCTTACATTTTAGTGGGAGGAGACAGATGATAAATATATAAATAAGATATCGCATCTGTCACTTAGAGATATGTGTGGTGGACATAAATATGATACAGAAGGAAAAAGGGAGTTTTGGGCACTGTGGGTGGACGATAGTTTAAATAGGACGATTGGGGAGAGCCTCACTGCAAATTTGGCATTGAGCAGAAATTCGAAGGATGTGAGGGATCAAGTCATATCTGTCACGTAAGAGTTTTCCCAGCGGAGGGCATACTAGTGCAAGGTCCTGTGGGTCTGGCTGAGTGGAGGGTTAGTAAATCATGTTCTAAAGTGCTTATTCAGCCTGCTGTGTGGATAATATTGGAGATGGGAGGAGAAAATTGATAAGATTGTTAGTCTAGACTAGTATGGATACCAGGTTCCAAATGACAGTGGCGTGCACAAGGGAGTGGAAGTGTGGAAGTAGAGGTGGTGATACACAGACCCAATACTGGCTGTATTTTAGAGGTCAGATCCTGCAGAAGTTACGGGTGAAACAAATGTGGAATATGAGAGAAAGAGCAAATGAGAGGAGTCCAAGGTCTTCGCTTGGGCAATTTGAAGGAGGGGCCACACACTGAGATGATGGTACTGCAAGAGGGAGCAGGCTTGGGTGGGACGATCAGGAGTCAGGAATCGAGTTTAGGGCCTGCTGAGTTTAATTTGTCCATTAGACATCTAAGCAGATTTCAGACTTTAGACCTTAGATTTTAAAGAGGGAGCCATTGATAATGAGTTTGTAGCTCCAGGCAACTCCTCCTGATGCATATTTGTAGTTGTTAGAGACTTGATGGCATCTAAGACTGGGAGACTTGATGAGGGTAGGCAGTAAGTGTAGATAGAGAAGTCCAAGGTCCAAGCCCTAGGGTAAGAACTAGACTAGAGCATTAGAAACTAGACTAGAATCTAAGGATAGGCAGAGGACAGGAGACCTCACAAACTGTAAAAGGAAGGGAGGAAATTGTGTTCTGTATGGGCCTATAGAATACATTCTATCATTTCAAATTTATAAGACCTCTGCTAGTGAATTCCCAGTGGTTTTGAAAAACAAAATCAAAAATTAATTAATGTAAATAATGCTACAAGAAAAAGGTTTCACCTTAAGCAGATAAACTCCTTTAAAAGTACTTAGGAGGGGCACCTGGGTGGCTCAGTGGGTTGAGCCTCTGCCTTCAGCTCAGGTCAGGATCTCAGGGTTCTGGATTGAGCCACGCATTGGGCTCTCTACTCAGCGGGGAGCCTGCTCCCCTCCGCCCCGCCCCGCCGTCCCTGCCTGCCTCTCTGCCTACTTGTGATCTCTATCCATCAAATAAATAAATAAAGTTTTTAAAAAAATAAATAAAAAAAGTACTTAGGAAGGATTTTCTTTTTTGTTACATGAGCTTTTGTTTATTATAAGAGAACTGAACAAAAACAGAACTGCTTTTTGGCAATATTTTGTAACCAGTTACTTAGGGTTGAATGAATAGTAAACATTCTTATATTCAGGCACATGGTAAAAATCATACACTCTTTGAGGAGATAAAGTGACTATTTAAGACATTCTATAATTACAGTATATCAGTAGCTTTTAAGTGTGAGTTAATAAGACATTGCTAAGAGGGAAGATTCCCAAAGACAGAAGAATGTGGTTTCAGTGAAGGTGAGAAAATGAAAAGCAGGTGGCATGTACTACTTTGTAAATGAAGATTACTTGTAAGGATGGAGAGAGAAAAAAGAGGGAAGGGGGAAGGGAGAGAGAAAATGAGATTTGTGTGTATGGACTTGAGAAGGGGGTGTTGTCATTTTTAAGGTAGGAAGGAGCAGTGTACAAAGGGGTAATGCAGGAAAGGAAAAGTTCCAAGCGTGGTCTTGGAAGACATGGGGAAAAGCTGGGATCCAGTTCACAGGGATTAGCCTTGGGAGGGACTTGTTTTGTTTGAGACTAGAAGGAAGGATGTGGGGATGAATGGACTGTAGACAGATACATAGATCGTGCTGGCCTAAAAGTTAAAGAAAATCATGCCTTTCCAATTTTATTGACCACATTCAGGGGGCATTTATCACCCTACTAGGACCATCTCTAATCACAGACCTATCAGTGGTTTGTGACCCAGCATTCTCTGGATATTTCATGGTGCACCTGATGGTAACTTACAAAGTTAAGATATATTTTATAAGAGGAAGAAATGTGATATATTTATTTGCTCATATATATGCTTTACTCATTGAGATTAAGCTTAGTTGGTCTGGGTGAAAATTTTTTATCCTTTCTTCAGGAAATCCGACTTATTGATTACGAGAAAATGGTGGATCATAGAGGAACACGGGTAGTGGCATTTGGACAGTGGGCAGGTGTGGCAGGTAGGTATGCCAGGGTTTTTACACCACCCACTTTTTAAATTTACCTGGGAAGTAACTGTGTTTTCTTTTTTTCTGTGGCTAGAGCAGGGAAGTGTTTATTTCCACCGATAAAAATAAACATGGGGAGGGCACCTGGGTGGCTTAGTGGGTTAAGCCTCTGCCTTCAGCTCAGGTCATGATCTCAGGGTCCTGGGATCGAATCCTGCATCGGGCTCTCTGCTTGGCAGCCTGCTTCCCCCCCCCCAACTCTTCCTGACTCTCTGCCTACTTGTGATTTCTCTCTCTGTCAAATAAGTAAATAATATCTTTAAAAGAAAAAAAAATAAACATAGGGATACAGCTAAGGGAGATGAATATTAGGGGAATAAAAAAGTAAATCATTACATATTTTTATTACAAAAGTTAAAAAGAAAAAGCAGGGAAAAGGAGAACAACTATGAATAGGATCTGACTTTTAAGGTAGCTCTATCTGGAAGACTAGGAGAGGTCGGTTTGGTGATGAGAAGTTGTGGAGGAGAACAAAAGGGGGAAAAGAGAGGGAAAAAATAGAGGGGCAGGAACCAAGAGAAGCAAGGATAAGAACTGGAATTGGGGGGAAAGTCCACTTGACTTTTGGCCCACTTAGTACTTTGAGCCTTCTTTAGTTGAGGAAACAACACTTCATGTTATAACTCTACATCAGATTAGAACTCGAAGGTCTGTAATTGTTAGAACAAGTAGAAAATTTGGTGGAAATATAGAACAGTAAAACACCATCAGCTACTCTGATATAATTGAGGGTTCTTGAGCACTCACCCAGATGGCCCATAAGAACAAAACAGTTATTAATAAACATAAAATGTTTTAAATCATAGAGTATGTGCTCTGACTATAATAAAGTTGATGTTGAAATAATAATAGAAAGGTATCTAGAAAATTTCCAGATATTTGGAAGGTAAACAATGTATTTCTTAATAACCAATGAGTCAAGGAATCACAGGAAAAATAAGTAAATACTTTGAATTCAATGAAAATTTAAAACAGCATACCAGAATTTATGGGGTGCAGATAAGGTGGTGCTTGGGAGGAAATTTATAACATTTAATGCTTTTATTAGAAATGAAGAAAGTCCAAATTAGTGATCTAAACTTCTATCTTATGAAGCAAGAAAATGAAGAAGTAATTAAACCCAAAGCAAATACAAGAAAAGACTAATAAAGTTAAGAGGGAAAATCAATGATATCAGAAGCTAGTTTTTTTTTTTTCTTTTTAAGCAAATCACTAAAATCGATAGATCTCCAGTTAGGCTGATTAGAAAAATAGAGAAGGCACAATTTACCAATATTAGGAATACAAGAGGGGTCATCACTATATTTCATATAGACATTAAAAGGGAAATAAAATATTATGAATAGGCTAATAAATTTGACAATGTTGATCAAATAGACAAATCCTTGAAAGACGAAAATGACCAAAACCAACTCAAGAAGAAATAAAAAACTTGAATATCAATGTACATAAGAAATTCTACTCATAGGCTTTTATCAAGAGAAATGAATTACTTTTTTTACAAAGACTTATTTCTAGTAGCTTCATTCTAATAGTGTAAAAATAATCCAAATGTTTATCAGCAGAAGAATGGATAAATAAGTTGTGATAAACCCATAAAATGGAAGCTCCTTGTCAATAAAAAGAAGTAAACTACTGAATAAATTCTGAAACTACACTGAATTATGTATGAATCTCAAAAACATGCTGAGTGAAAGCAGACACAGAAAAAAGAGTATATACTAATAATTTCACTAATATGAAACTGTAAAATTAACTACTCTGTACAGAGAGAAGTAAAACCAGTACTTTTCTGGGGCAAAGAGCTGGGGAGTATTGATTGAGGTGATGGAAATATTCTATATCTCAATTATGTTGGTGGTAATACGGGTGCATACATATGTTCACGGTTATCAAATGATGCACTTTAAATTGGTGCATTTTATTGAATATAAATTACTCTTTTAAAAGTTGACTTCAGAAAAAAGATCAAAGAACATTTGGAAGGGATACAGAGAAGGAAAGTTCTGTTCCTAAAAAAAAAAAGAGGAGAATGGATGCTGAGGTCTTTGCTGTGGGTATGCTGAGTTTTCACTATTTGAGTCCAAACTGAGAAATCCGTGAGATAATTGATCAGGTCTTGAAATAAAATAACCTGTGTTAGAGAGACAGACTTGGGGTCATCAGTGTATACAGAATACTTGAAATTTAGGACTGGATAAAATTAGCTAAGGAAAAAAAATATAGAGATTGAAGAGAGTAGGTCCCTGGACAGAATCTTGAGGCCAGCTAATTTTAAAAAAGGACCTTAAGGAAAGGGCAGAGGACACAAAAAGAAATGGGCATGGGAAGAGGCACCTATAGAAATGTGGGATGAAAATTTTCAAGTTAGGGATGCTTGGGGAAGCGAGGGTTCCACGTTGCCAAATACCACTGACAGGTAAGTCAAGATCTGACGGTTGTTCCCTGAGTTTAGCTGTTTAGATAACTAAAATTGCCAATGGCAGTCATAAGGTCAGTGCTGACATTGTATTGGTTTGTTCATTAGTTTTGGTTTGAGAGGAATCTGTCTTTAAATGTTGATAAGAGTGAGCCAGTATATTGTGCTAAGCGAAATAACTCAATCAGAGAAAGACAAGCATATGATCTCACTGATACGAAGAATTTGAGAAACAAGACAGAGGATCATAGTGGAAGGAGGGAAAAATGAAACAAGATGAAACCAGAGAGGGAGACAAACTATAAGAGACTCTTAATCTCAGGAAACAAACTGAAGGTTGCTGGAGGGGAGGGGGGTTGGGAGGGATGGGGTGGCTGGGGGATGGACACTGGGGAAGGTATGTACTGTGGTGAGCACTGTGAATTGTGTAGGACTGATGAATCACAGACCTGTACCCCTGAAACAAATAATACAGTATATGCTAATTTAAAAAGAAACAATGAACTAGTAAGGAAGGACAGTGAAAGGAATAATTTCAAAAGTGAATTCCTTAGAGAAGGAATGGGAAGGGATGGGATTTGGAGCAAAGGTAGAGAGAACAACCTTAGAAAAGAAGAAGGACACTTTTCATTTGCCAGGGTTGAAAGTGGAAGGGATTAGATAGGGATGCAGCTGAGTAGTGCTCTTGATGGCAGAAAATGGAGGGGATGGATAAGGTGACCACTGGGGCCCCTTCCAAATCCAAGATGCCGTGGTCTGTGCTTCATCAGAGCACCGAGCAGGTTGGAGAGAGAGGGAGAACAGCTTCAACCCCTGACTGATGGCTTTTCTGTTGGTCTGATTCTGCAATAGGGATGATCAACATTTTACATGGAATGGGGCTAAGGCTTCTCGCTTTGGGACATCACACACCTTTTATGGTGAGATGTGTATTTTGTTCATTTTTTTGAAAATATGTATCAGGACAATGTCTCAGGCGGTCGACTGATATGAATTCCTGTGTGCTTGCTTGCAGCACATTGGCATGGCCCATAACTACAGGAACAGCAGCCAGGCCGTGCAAGCTGTCCGCGATGCTGGCTATGAAATATCTCTGGGTTTGATGCCAAAGTCGATAGGGCCTTTAACATTTGTGTTCACAGGGACTGGTAATGTATCTAAGGTAACTTCTTAGATGTTTCTAAGGAAGTCTTTCTGTAAAGCAGCCTGAACTCTGAAACTAGCCCAAGGAATGTGAACATTTTTGGTCATCTCAGAGCCTTGCTTCTGGATGAGTAGGCGTTCTATTTTTGGTACTTTTCTTACCTAGGTAACCTTTCCCCAGTATAGAGCAGTAATGGTCCCAACTTAACTTTCTTTGCTGTCGTTTGACTCCAACCTGTCACAGTATTTGAGCACTTTTTCTTTCTAAAGAGATAAATCATTGTTAATGGTACATAGATCTGTTCTTAAGGTGATCTCTTTTACCTTCATCACTGAGATAGCCGAAAGTTTGGAAGTGAGCACAGGATGTGAATTTTTAAAAATGATTTGAAGTTTCGCCGATAAGATTTTAGGAAGCTTAATACAGGATCAGAATTCATACTTTTTCTTCCTTCTGGGATGGTTTTGAGAAGGTGATTGTGATCCCGCAGGGACCTTCTCTCAATGAAAACATGTTACAAATAGGACATCACTCTTTGTATTATACTGTGAGATAGGCATCTAATTTTTTTCATAGGAAATACAGTTTTGTCACTTGAAATAATTCTGCAATGAAGCAAAAAGTAAATAGAAATATTTTATTGTGCCCTCATTTTTAAACACCTTTGTGTCTACTCTGAGTAACTTTAGTTAAAAAAAAAAAGAAATGAAAGCTCCTTCCAATGGATGCTGTTCCTACTGGAATAAAAGTTGGTGTGTAGACTGTGTGAGAGAAGCTTATCTGTACTTCTGTGTTGCACACTTCGTCTCTGGGCAGGACAAATGGAGCTAATAATTGTGGGGAAAGAGAATTGGAATCTTTGCAGGAAAACATGTTGGCTTCTTTCCTGTTGATTTTTAGATTTTTACTCATGTATTATTTACAGGGAGCCCAGGAAATCTTCAATGAGTTGCCTTGTGAATATGTGGAACCACATGAATTAAAAGAAGTTTCCCAAAATGGAGGTAAGGGGGAGGGGAATGACTGTACGTATCTTTTACTGTTTTTAACAGTTTCTGTGTTATAATACTTTATCACCATAAATCTTTATCATTTGTCACCTACTTTACTAATTTCTTTCTCCTCTCCAAGACCTGAGAAAAGTGTATGGGACGGTGTTAAGTCGCCATCATCATCTTGTCAGGAAAACAGATGGTGTGTATGATCCTGTAGAGTATGACAAATACCCTGAACACTACATAAGTCGTTTTAATACTGACGTGAGTATCACACTCAGCTTCTCACTTGGTTGCTCCTAATATGCTATAGTTAGGCTGGTTTCAAGGAGAGAGATTATTAATGTATATATTGGTTTTCAGTTCCCCATATTGACTTGTGAATCCTTTGGGTTGGCCTTAGAAGTTGTTGGCTTTTATCGATGTTGGGAGTGGGCTTTACTTAGTGGTTTTGCTGGATATGCCCTTAGTTTCACTATCTCTGTTTCTGCTTCAGGTCTGCATGTGCCCAATAACTCTAAACCATTTCCTGTGGAATACTCTTTTCTGTATTTACCTTGGACTGGTCAGTGCTATTGGCAAAGCACAATGTCTATGAGGTTTCATCTCAACCCAGGGTCATCCCTTCTATGGCCACAAATTGCAGTCATAACCTCAGACAGTTGTCTTGGAATCCATGGCATTGATTACAGGGGACTAGAATGAAACAGCACAGTTACATAAGCACAGGCCTGTCCCCATGGTACAGAAAGTTTCCTGTAATACAGAACCTTCTGATGGGGACACACTGGCCGTATCTTCTAAGAAGAAAAATGTATGTACGTAGGAGTCACTGCGAAGTCCTCCTCAAAATCAGCAAACCAAAAAATAAATAAAAAGTGCATGCATTTATTATGAAAAGAAATGTTTTAAATAATTTTAAATATGTTTGAACAATAAGATAGCAGATTCTGATGTGAAATACAGCTGTTATGCCATGTAGAGCGTGTCGTAGAGAAGGACTTTTACCTGTAGTTTGAGAATGCTTGAGATGTTTGGGAAAGAAAAATTATGAAACTAGTTTCAGACTGAAAAATTAAAAATCTAGTAAATTTCCATCCCTTGTTTTTCCCCCAATCACAGAAATATTGGTGATTGGATGCCTCCTAAAATTTATAATGACCTAGTTACCATGTATGCATGTATGTAGCACATTTGTCCATGGAGCTTATAGATGTTATCTGACTCAATCCTCACAGCATTCCTTTGAGGAATGGGGTACCTGTTATCCCAGTCTGGCAGGTAAGGGAAATAGAGCCCAGAGAAGTTGAGGTAGCATGATGTAGATCACACTACTGGTGGTTGAGCTGGAAATAGAGGGCTAGGTCACTTGATTCTGTCCTTTTCCTTTTCTTGGCCATGCACTACCTTAGAAAACAGAAATATTAATATATTTATGCTCATATACTTATCTCTCGTGGAGTAATTCTACACTGAAATCTGGGTGGGTATTTATTGTCTTTACCTCACAGAATGACCACTGATGTGGCAAATAATAAAGTCACTTTGAAGTAACATTAAATTATTTCTCATGAACTTTACTGATAGCTCTCTTTCAGCCTGCTGCTTTGAAATTTGCTATTGCCTAACTTGTTCAAGTTGCCACTTGCTTTACAGATTGCACCCTATACAACTTGTTTAATTAACGGAATCTACTGGGAGCAAAACACCCCTCGTCTGCTAACTCGCCAAGATGTCCAGACTCTCTTGGTTCCAGGCAAGTCCTCTGTTGCTGGTGTGGAAGGCTGCCCTGCATTACCACACAAGTAAGGACTTTACTTCAGTAAGGATGGCAGTTTTCAGCAGCAGAGCCCACTCTTAGGGTGTCATCTACAGGGGATTCACATATCACAGGACTTGACTGTTAAAGACTAGTGGTCTGCTTTATTTCACTCAATTTCTTGGCTGCATTTGACAGTTAACCTTCCTTCTTCTTAAAACTCTCTTCTCAACTCTACATGAAGCTCAAAGGTAAACTCCTTAGAAAGATCTTCTATGTCCCTGTCCCCATCTCTCTCTAGTCTGTACTTTTTCCCCCCGAAATTCATGATTATTTATTTTCTTGTGTTTATGACTTTTCTCCCTCCCGTTAAAATTTAATCTTAAGGATAGGGGTCCTATTTATTTTGGCGACAAGTACCCAGTACATTGCCTGACATACAGTTTGTATTCAAATAATTATTAAATGTTGAATTATGTAATTAGTCAATAAATAAATCAATTAATCACAGTAAATTGTGAACACCTCATCTACCTGGCACTCTGCTAAGCTAAAGCATAGAGAAAAAATATGATTGCTACCCTCAGGCATGCAGCTGGCATGATATAAATGCCAAGGGAGTACTAGGAGCAATAAATAGCTCAAGAATTTGGAAGAAAGTAGGAACATTGGGCTCAGCAAAGCCTTAAAAGGGAAGACTGAGGAGAAAGAGAATTGCAGGTGGTAGGATTGATGCTTGTTAAGTATGGAACCACCAAAGCACAACTTAAGACACAGCGAGTACAGTAGTCTAGCTCTAGTGCAGGGTTTATAAAGGCAAGTGGTAGTTGGAGGTTGGGCAGGAAATTTTTGGTCAACCACTAAAGGATTTCAAAAGCTGGGCTGAGATTTCTGTTCATAATTCTGGAGATTTCCCTGCATTAACATGTAAAATTATGTGGCTAGATAGGCACAAACTATCCCCATGATACAAAAAGTTACCTACAATTCCAAACCTTCTGATGGGACACACTGGCCTCACCTTGTATGAAGAACAATGTATTTGTGTGTTCTGTAGTCTTCGGTCATGCAGAGTCCCCCTCAGAATAAACCTTGTGCCGCTAAGCAGGGTGGAGGTAGTGTAATCAAACCTTCGTAAGTTATTTAGAGTTGGCTGAATAGGTTAATTTTAACGAGGTTGTTTCTTATGATTTCTCTAGGGATGGGGTTTTCCACTTTGATTTCCTTTTTTCTCCACCTGCTCTTCTTTTTCTTCTTACTTTTGTATATGGATACTAAAACTTGTATTGGGAAGATTGTCCATATCCTAGAAGAATACAGTGTCCTGAACAGTGAACTGTAGGAAAAAGAACTGAAGAGCCCAGGAAATATTTGGCTCCCACACTGAAAGTTGTTCAAGTACCTTTCATTTTCATTCATCTTTAATCTTGTTGAGAAGCTCCATGCTCTGATCTGAGTATTGATGTTATTTTCAGACTTGTGGCGATATGTGACATTTCAGCTGACACAGGAGGATCTATAGAGTTTATGACTGAATGTACGACAATAGAACATCCCTTTTGTATGTATGATGCAGACCAGCATATTATTCATGACAGGTGAGTTTGCTAAGGCTGTAGATTATAAGAGATAGATGGGAATACGTCACTCAGTTAACCTTGATGTACTAGTTTAAAATACTCAGTGTTTTACATTTTTATGACAGCTATACAAATATCCAGAGCTATGCTCAAACATATTTAAAAATTTGGTAGAAAAACTACACGCAAATTCAAATACTTAAAAACATGTAAATTATATTTAAATGGGAGATGGGTTGCTGGAGAAAGTTTTGCTTATTTTCTTTTATACTTTGGTACACAATTATAAATTATTATGAAACACATATAATGGAGTGGACACCTGGAAAAGTTAGAGCTTACAAATAACATTTTATATATCTGAATAAAGTGTATTGCTTCTCCTAGTGTTGAAGGTTCTGGGATTCTGATGTGTTCCATTGACAATTTGCCAGCACAGCTTCCGATTGAAGCTACAGAATACTTTGGAGACATGCTTTACCCTTACGTTGAAGAAATGGTAAGCTGACTGGTAGCATCCACAATTCTGTGGCTTTAAATAGAACTGTGGAGGGATCTTGGGAATGTTCTGGTCTCCAATACCTAAGAAATCTGCTGTAAAATGAAATGCCAGCCCTCCTTCAAAAGTATTTATAGACATTCATTTATGTATTCTGCTTACTTGTCTCATGGGAAATATGATTATATAACTGCCTTCATGATTAATTATAATTGAATTTATCTCTCATTATGCATATTTTATTAAAAATGTTCATGACATTGAGATAAGATTTCCTTTTTTTCACTCTTCTGCTGTCTAGGTCAATTCATGTTAGAACATTCTTACTGTGCTGTGATGAACAGATTTGAAAAATCAGAAATAAAGAAAATTTTATTGGATGTTTGTCACTAATGCTTAGTTAAGCGACAGCTTTTGTTGTGGTCATGTATTTTTCATTGTGATCAGTGACTGACTGCCAAAATACTGTGTTATCTAAGTGCCATTTCATTTGCCAGAAATAAGTGTTCTTATTTAAGTATTTATGTTAAGCATACTCTTCTCTTTCTGTGCTGAGAATTTCTATCTTTTCATACACTTTGAGTGTACTGTTCTTTATCATATGGACAGAGTTAGAAAAGTCTCTTTATAGTCTTTGCATCATATTTCCAAAATTCTGTGTCAGCTTGGGGTTGAACCTTATGGATTGTCTTTTTCCTTAAAAATGGGTCAGATCATAGTTTCTGTTTTTTTCCAGTTGCATAATTTGGGATTGTATCCTGGATGATGTGAATAGTTATGCTGTGGAGATTCTAGATTGTTACATTTTCCTGGAAAGGGTTTATTCTCTTTTTTTAATTAGCAGAGGTTAGACTTAGACTGGTTAGATTTAAATTGAAAACTTTGCCTCATCTAAGGTTGGGGGTAGCTCAAATAAAAGTTCAGCTCTTTCATCTTTACCTGGGTTGCTTACCTACACACACTCAGTTTGGGGGTTATCCAGAGATTTAAACAGAGTTCACATGAAAGTTGGGCTTTGCTTTTTCTGAATCTGCCCTTTCTGGCATTTTCCACTCACATTCTGGAGGCTGTGGTTGCTCTAGGTTCTCTTCCTGCCATACCCATGAAAGGTCATGCCAGACGCTAGACTCATCTCTTTGGGTTTTCTTCCCCAGAATTACGGTGGAGCAAGTCTTTTTTACCTTATTTTTTAAAAAATTTAATTCCAGTAGTTTCAGGTATGCAATATAGTGATTTAACAATCCTGAGCATTACTCAGTGCTCATTGTGAAAAGTGTACCCTTAATCCCCATCACCTGTTTCACACATTGCTCTACCCACCTCCCCTCTGGTAACCATCTGTTTGTTCTCTGTAGTTAAGAGTCTCTTTTTTTCCTTTGTTCCTTTGTTCTGTATCTTTAATTGCCCATATGAGGAAAATCATATGGTATTTGTTTTTCTCTGACTGACTTATTTTGCTTAGCACTATATACTCTCTAGCTCCATTCATGTTGTTGCAAATGACAAGATCCCATTTTTTATGGGTGAGTAATATTCCATTGTGTGTGTGTATGTATATGAGTGTATATTGTGTATGTATATGAGTGTATATACATACACACACACAAACACATATATATATATATATATATATATATATATATATATATATATATCTGTTTACACCACATCTTCTTTATCCATTCATCTATTGATGGATACTTGGGCTGCTTCCATGATTTGGGTACGGTAAATAATGCTGCAATAAACATAGGGGCACATATACCTTTTCTAATTGGTGTTTCCATATTCTTTGGGTAAGTACCCAGTAGTGGAATTGCTGGATTATATGGTGGTTCTCTTTTCAGTTTTTTGAGGAAACTCCATATAGTTTTCCATAGCAAGTGTACCATTTTGCATTCCTACTAGCAGTACAAGAGGATTCCTTTTTCTCTGTACCCTCTCCTGCACTTGTTGTTTCTTGTATTTTTCCATTTTAGCCATTCTGTTGGATGGGAGGTGCTGTTTCATTGTCATTTTGATTTGCATTTGCCAGATAACTGATGCTGAGCATCTTTTCATGTGCCTGTTGGCTATTTGTTTGTCTTCTTTTGGAGAAATGTCTGTTCAAGTCTTCTGCCCATTTTTTAATTGGAATATTTGGGTTTTTTAGTGTTGAGTTATATCAGTTCTTTCTATATTTTGGATACTAATCCTTTATCAGATAGATCATTTGAAAATACCTTCTCCCATGCAGTAGGTTGCTTTTTTAGTTTGTTGATTATTTCCTTTGCTGTGCAGAAACTTTTCATTTTGATGTAAGTCCCAATAGTTTATTTTTGCTTTTGTTTCCCTTGCCTATCTAGAAAAATGTATCTAGACGTATCTAGAAAAATGTTGCTATGGCCAATGCTAGAAAAATTACTCCCTGTGCTGTCTTCTGAGATTTTTGAGGTTTAGTGTCTTACATTTAGGTCCTTAGTCCACTTTGAGTTTATTTTTGTATATGCTATAAGAAAGTGGTCCGGTTTCATTCTTTTTCATGTAGCTGTTCAGTTTTCACAATAGGATTTGTTTGAGACTTTTTCCCCATAGTGTGTTCTTGCCTCCCTTGTCAAAGATTAATTGAGTAAAAATTGTGGGTTTATTTTTAGGCTCTCTCTTTTGTTCTATTGATCTGTTGTCTACTTTGTGCCAGTACCATACTGTTTTGATTACTACAACTTTGTAGTATCCATTGAAATCTGGAGTTGACATACTTCCAGTTTTCTTTTTCTTTTTTTAAGATTTTCCTTATTTATTGGAGAGAGAGAAAGAGTGAGAGTGAGAGAGAGCACAAGCCACGGGGAGAGGCAGAGGGAGAAGCAGACTCCCCGCTGAGCAGAGAGTCCAATGCGGGGCTCCATTCTAGGACCATGTATTCATGTATTCATGAATGTATTCATGATTGAGCTGAAGGTAGAAACTTAACCAACTGAGCCACCCAGGCACCCCTGTTTTTCTTTTTTAACATTGCTTGGCCACTCAGGGTCTTTTGTGGTTCCACACAAACTTTAGTATTGTTTGTCCTACTTTAGTGAAAAATGCTGTTGGTATTTTGATAGGGATTGCATTAAACCTGAAGATTGCTTTGGGTAGTATGAATATTTTAACAATACTTGTCTTTCCAATCAGTGAACATGAAATATTTTTCTATGTGTTTGGGTCATTTTCCGTTTCTTTCATCAGTGTTTTATAGTTTTCACAGTACAGGTCTTTCACCTCCTCATTAAAATTTATTTCTAGATATTTTATTCCTTTTGGTATAATTGTAAATGGGACTGTTTTCTTAATTTCTGTTTCTCCTGCTTCATTATTAGTGTATAGATATGCAGTGGACTTCTGTACATTGGTTTTTGTATCCCACAACCTTACTGAATTCATTTATCAGTTCCAGCAGTTTCTTATGGCAGTCTTTAGAGTTTTCTATATATAGTATCATGTCATTTGCAAATAGTGAAAGTTTTACTTCTTCCTTACTAAGCTAGATGGCTTTTATCCCCTTTTCTTGTTAGATTTCTGTGGCTGGTATTTTCAGTACTATCTTGAATAAAAATGGAGAAAGTGGACACCTTTGTCTTGTTCCCACCCTTAGGGAAAAGCTCTCATTTTTTTCCCATTAAGTATGATGTTAGCTGTTGGTTTTTCATGATTAGTTGACTTTCTTTAGTGGTGATCTTCGGTCCTTTCTCTTTTTTTTTTTTTTTTTTTTTTTGCATATCTATTACTGATTTTTGATATCTGGTTCCTGTTCAGTTTGTATATAACATCTGCATATGGTAGTCTGTATTAAAATGATGGCTGCTTAAGTTTGAACCCATTCTTTACTCCTCTTCCTCCCACATTTTAGGTACATGAAGTTGTACTTTACATCCTTTTATGTTGTGAGTCCCTTGACTGATTTTTATAGATATACTTAATTTCACTGCTCTTGTGCCTCCTACTTTTCTTACTCCTACTTATGGTCATTCCTTCACACTCAAAGAGTCTCCTTTAACATTTCCTGTAGGGCTGTTTTAGTGATCATGAATTCCTTTACCTTTAGTTTGTCTGGAAAACTTTATTTTTCCTCCTATTCTGAATTATAGCCTTTCTGGGTAGAGAATTCTTGGCTGCAGGTTGTTTTCTGTCAGCACTCTGAATATATCATGCCACTCTCTTCTGGCCTGCTAACTTTCTGATGATAAATCTGCTGATAGCTTTGTGGGATTACCCTTATATGTAACTGTTTTCTTTTCTCTTGCTGCTTCTAAAATTCTCTCTTTATCACTACTTTTGGCCATTTTATTATGTGGTTTTGTGCAGATCTCCTTGGGTTGACTTTTTGGGGGATTCTCTATGTCTCTTGGATCTGGATTTTTGTTTCCTTCCCGAGAAGAAAGAAGTTTTCAGCTGTTCTTCAAATATATTTTCTGTCCCTTTTTCTCTTTCTTCTTCTGGGATCCCTGTAATATAACTACTATACTTGATTGGGTAACTGAGTTCCCTAAGGCTGTTTTAATTTTGTATTCTTACTTATTCTCTCACATGTTCAGGTTGATTGTTTTCCATTACTCTGTTCTCTAGGTCCCTGATCTTTTCTTCTGCTTTCTCTAGCCCACTATTTATTCCATCTAGTGTATTTTTAATTTCAGTTATTGAGTTCTTCATTTCTGATTGGTTCTTTTATGTTTTCTCTCTCTTTGTTAAGAGTCTCACTGAACCCTCCACTCCTTCCTCAAGAGCATCTTACTTAGGTAGTCTCCACTTCACTTAGGTATCTTGCTGTGATTTTGTCCTGTTCTTTATCTGGGACATATTCCTCTGTCTCATTTTGTCTAACTCTCTGTGTCTGTTGCTATGTGTTAGGAAAATCAGCTACATTTCCTGCTCTTGAAAGTAGTGGCCTTATGAAGAAGAGGCCCTGCAGTGCTGTGTTCCCTGTACATCAGAACTGGTACTTCAGGGGTGTCTCCTCTATGTGCTGTGTGCACTCTGCTATTGTGGCTGAGCCACTTTTTTCTTCAGTCATCATCTACAATGGCCCTATCTGCCTATTATGGGCAGTGTTTGGTCCCTGTGACATTAATAGGTTGGTCTGGGGATGCCTTGGGTTTAAGTGGTGTCAGACCTGGCATTTGCCATAGATGCAGTAGCACTGAGGTGTAGGTTGCTTTCCCTGTTTTGTCTTCTGTAAAGCTTTTGTGGGGCCTGCTGTCAGATCAGCTATCTGTTCCCAGCCCACTGCTGGGGTTCAGTCTGGCTGGTGTGTATAGTTCTCTGTCCCTCTCCCTGGGGCAGGCATCCCTTTGGAGTGGTGCTGGTCCATCAGGGCTGCTCGCATGCTGGCGGCCTTGTGGCACTGTTTTGGATGGGCTCAGACCAAGAGTGTATTGGAGGGGCTTGATCTGCAGAAGACTGTGGTGTCAGTTGCGGGGTGTTACCAAAACTTGCAAAGGTCTTCCATGGGAGGAGACATTGAGCTGAGGCCTGGCTTGAGGGAGTGTGTCCACAGGGGAACACACGGGTAGGCAAACTGTTATCAAGTTAGGTAGGAATGTAGGTCCTGTGCTGCTTTCAGCTTGTAGCTTGTGTTTAGGTTGAGGGGTGGGGCAGGGAAATAGTGCAGGCCAGCGTCTTTATTCCTGGAGAAGTCTCCCGTGGATCCTTGCCCCCCAGCACATGTTCTGAGATTAGTAAACATATCTTCCTCCCATATACCCCAGGCATTTTTTTAAACTGCTCCTTCTGTGCTATATCTCAATAGGGCTTTTTCTTGTGCTATTTCTTTCAGGGTAGGGACTCAGTTTCATCTTGGCCTCTGCGCTCTCCCAGAGATTTAAAAATCCTGCAGATTTTTAAAGTTCCAGGTTTTAAGTACTGGTGCTTATAAAAAGCTATAAAATTCAGTCCTTCTAGTTTTCAAAAGCAAAAATTATGGGGATTCATCTTTCCTCTGTGGGTTTCCCCATGTGAAAGTCTGTTTCTCTCCCTTCCCTGTGCCTGTATTGTCCCTCACTCCTGTGGAACGTCCTTCAAATCCCCTCATCTCAGCCCTTCCTACCCTCTTCAATGTAGCATCTTCTCTTCATTTAGCTGTGGAGAGTTTGTTCTGCCAGTCTTCAAGTCATTTTCTGGGTTATTTAAATTGATGTGATTGTCATCTAATTGTGTCTGTGGTAACAGGTGAGCTTAGGGTCCTCCTTTTCCACTATTTTCCCTAGACCAAAAAAAGTCTTATCTACCCTTTGAAGCGAAAAACTGAGGCTTTTCATTTTACCTGGTTTTACTCAATGGGAAGATTGGTCTGAAAAAACTAATTCACCTTTGCTGGAGAGAAAATGTACATTTAAAAAGGTGGTATGTTTTTGCTTACATAAACTGGCAGTTAATAGACTCTTAGGCAATGTGAGAAGGTTAAAATTATCTGACAGTGAAGTGTTGGAGGTTTTTGGTCAGACTGAGACAGGTGATATTGCTTAGATGTTTGATGACTAAGCTGGCTTCTCTAAATTGTCACACCTTTTTCCTTTTATACATCATGATAGTCCTCTGAACAGTGTGGTGGGATTGTCTTGGGGGCATCTTTGTCAGCACAGTCTTTAAGCACTGGACATTTTTGAAAATTTATGGCTTTATATTGTAGTCTTGATACGTGTGTTCTGCTTACAACTAAAAAAATTAAGTTGTCTGTGTTCTCTTCTGATAACTGTATGGGAACTGTATTTAAAGTATATGCACTGTCGGGGCACCTGCGTGGCTCATCTTGGTTAAGCATCTGACTCTTGGTTTCGGCTCAGGTCATGATCTCAGGGTCGTGAGATCGAGCCCTGCATGGGGGCTCTGCTTGTCCTCTTCCCCCCACCTCTGCCTCTCTCCCCACTCTCTCTCTCAAATAAATAAAATCTTTTTTTAAAAAAAGTATGTGCACTGTCTTTTACCCCTAGATTTTCCTTTTTGACGTAAGGTTCAGACCCTGTGGCATTAAAGGCTATCATATCTGAACCAATAGAGAAGTTTGTTTCACTTGAATTACTTACATACTTTTTGTCTGCTGGAACAAGGCACACATATGGATGAAGAAAATTAAAATACACCTTCTGATCTATAGAGGCATGAGGTCTAGGAAGGGATGAGACAAGTGTGCAACCCTGTCATAAGGTGGAATATGACAGCCATTAGGAATATGCTAATGAAGTTATGGAGGGAAATATGCTAATGAAGTTATGGAAGTAATGAAGTCTTGTTCGGTAAAGTCCAGAAAGGTTTTATGAAAGGTGTGATATTTGATTTGGCTCTTGACAGATGTATCGGATCTGTTCATTTGCATGGGAATAAGAGGCATGTGATGGAGACAGGAGAGCAAAGGTGGGAGTTAATTTAACAGAGGGTTTCTGTGAGCTGTGAAGTAAGGTACGTAAAGGGAAGTATGTTGGTTCTACATTGGAAAGGGTCTTGACACCAGCATAAAGAGCTTGAAATTGATTTAGGAAAAAGTGGTGAGCTCTCAAAGGTGGTATATGTGAAAGTGACAAGGACCCTTGTGCCTGCACTTTTGTCATGGTTGAATTCCAGCAAGTTAAATGCAGTCATTCGGCAGCCTTTTGTTGTCTTTCCTGTTTGCCTTTCTTTGGGTGGACTCAAGATAGTTATTTCATTTTCTTGGGATAAAAAATCCATGCAATTATTGCATATATCCTTTTATATATTTATTGAATATTTACCATTTTATTGCACAGGCAAGACGCCAAGTGCACTTCTTAGCTTCAGTCTGCTTATGGGCGGATTTTGATAAAGGCTTCACAGAGGAGGCAGTTCTTCAGCTGTATCTTGGAGGATGAAGAGTGGGAGTTCCATGCAGAGGCATCGCATGTGACGCACCCACATGCTATAGTACAGAGGCATGGGAATGCTAATGCAGATGAGCGTTAGTCTGATTGATAGGACTAGAGTTTTGGGTATGAGACAGAAGGGAGAATTAAGATTGGAGAGGCAGAGACAGACTGCAGGAAAGTCTGGGGGGCCACATAAGGAAATAGAGACTGGATCTTGAGGGTATTAGAAAGCTACTGGATTATTTTAAATAGACACAGAAGAAACAATCAGGTTTGTGTTTTAGATTGAAGATAAATGGAAGGAGAGAGGTGGGAGGTAGTTCCCCTGGACTCAGAAAGACCTGAGTAAGGCCACAGAATTACATATAAACAGTAGAGAAAATGGAAGGATATACAAGAGTTCAGTAGTTTAGCCATATGCCAAGTAAAATTCGAATCACATGTTGTTATTTGCTGATGGCTCCTGGTAGGAGGCGGGGTTGGTAAGTGGGGGATTCATCTTGATGAGGGAATAGTCATAGGTGGTTGGGTGAAAGAAGCAGTGGAGGATACCAGTTGTGCCAATTCCATGAGCTTCCCCAAAGATGCCCTACCAGTCTTATAGATAGATATCTTTTTTAAAATGCCCATATGCCCGGAATAGATAGCATAAGTGTTGTATGCTTTAGACACATGAAAGTAGTTTTGATATTTGTTTTTTTTTTTTTTAAGATTTATTTATTTGTTTTACAGAGAGAGAACATGAGTGGGAGGGGCAGAGGGAGAGAATCTCAAGCAGACTACATGCTGAGCACAGAGCCTGACAGGAGTCTCTATCCCACAATCCTGAGATCACAACCTGAGCTGAAACCAAGAGTTGGATACTTAACTGACTATGCCCCTCAGGTGCCCCTGATACTTATTTTAATACAGTAAATAAATATTTATCTGCCAGTATCTGGTAGGTACATTTTGCTCTTTCTCAGCTGGGTGACCGCTCTAGACTTTAATCTACAAGGGTAAGGAGGGAATGGTTGTCCCATTGACCCGAAGGTCCTGACCATCAGAAGCAATACTACTAACTGACATGAACTTTACTCTAGGTAGTCTATTCAGGAGTTGGATACCTTGGAAGAAAAGAGGAGGATTAGAAGGATGGTGGGTGTTAATCTGAGAGATGTGGCTTTTGTTGTTTTCCATGGGACTCATTCTTGTGAGATAATGGGAAGACTGCATGACTCTTTGAGGTCTACTTTTTTCTTGATGCTTTTGAAATGCTGATGTGCCTATACATAGAACCGTATGGACCTGAGGGAGACTCCCTATTGCAGGGTTGATGGCTTTTTGTCTGAAAGGCCCATTCTCTCTTCTGATAGAACAGTGTGAACCTTTGGGGTGGGATTCAGGCCCTTGGAGTGGGTAAAACTTGTGGTGATGTTTGCCAGCATGTTCAATATGACACATCAAACTGTTGGGGAAAGATAAACCATTTAGTGTTTTTAACAAGCAAAGATGATTGTAATCAAGTTTTAGTTTTAAAATTGGGACTTGTGCTGAAATTGTAGGTTCTTGAGGGACAATTCGTTGCTTGTAGACTTCTATTACCAATTATTTGTATTCAGTGATCTTCAGAAAACTCCTATAAATTCTTTTTTTCCTTTGACTAATATTTTAATATGGAAATAAACACTAAGATCTTCTCTGCAATGTCATTTATCTCTTACCAGTCTCATTTTCCTTTCAGATATTATCAGATGCAACACAGCCTCTTGAAAGTCAGAATTTTTCTCCTGTGGTACGAGACGTAAGTTATGAAAATAGTTTTTTCCATGGTTGTATTTTTTCCACTACCATCCTCTCTCACTCTCTTCCTTTCCCTTCCTCTCTCCATCTTTGTTACATGAGCCCCTGTTGTGGGTGTAATATATGGACACTAAAATATCTTGTGTCATACACATTTAGGCAGTGATTACATCCAATGGTGTATTGACTGATAAGTATAAATATATCCAGAAACTCCGAGAGAGCAGGTAAGCACTATTCCTATCTTGGTTTTTTTGAGTATTTTTAAATGTTTCTTTATGAGTTCATGATACTAGGTTTACACAATTTTGAAAATGTCTTTAGATACAGGAAATCCAAACTATGTGACTAGCTGAAACCAGTGGGAATTATTTTTCTCTGAACATCATTTTGGCTTGCTAAATTCCTGTGTAGACTCAGGTGTAAGCCAGCAGGAGTCTAAAAAGTTGTCTTTTGGGTAACCTCTTGTTCTTTCGCTAGCATTTTGCATATTGCTATGTCTCAGCTATTTTCTCAAAGAAAATAAGCACGCTAACCCTTCCTGTGGTGCTTTCAGTCTGATTTTTAGTTGAGGGTTTGGACTCTATTTTGTTTAGTATAATGTTTAGGCAAATGGTCTCTTATTTAGAAATGAAGAGAAGTAGTGAAGAAAGAAAATGGTGAGAGGTCAGTTTTCCCTGGGAATTCTTCTTAGGAGGAAGGTGCCAAACAGTAATGTGGTAAATGTACCCAAGAGAATAGTTCTCTTAGAAAGGTACTTAGCTAAGGCCCTTGTTTTCTTAATTGATTTTACTACTCAGAGTTTGAAAACATTGACATTTCTTTGGAATGGTCTGGTCCTCTTCAGCTGATTGTACTTGATTTATGTTTATGTCTGCTCCATTGGTCTATTCACATTTAACAAAATAACCCATGCACTGAATTCTCAGGAGAGACCAGAGTGGGACAATTAAAAAGAAGCGAACAAACTGCCTTATCTTCTTTCTCAGCTCTTCTATCTGTAAGAAGTAAATAAAGAGATCTGCTTCGATCAAGTATACTTACTTCTGTGCTGGTCCATCTGTGTTCGTTTTCTTACAGTTACTTTTGATGTGTCGGTGAAATATTCTGGCATAAGATACCGAGAGAGATTTGTTTTTGTTTTTGTTTTTTAAACTGGCTAGCACTATAGTCCTGTAGGAGTGTTTCTTATAGGGGAAACTTCACATATATTCATTTTTCATAACTCTCTGTGTCTTTTGATTCTTACTATCTGATGATCTCTTATATTACTAATCCTAATAACATGTCTAACATGACTGGTCACGATGATGTTTTCACTCTTACACTCCATATTTCTTGTAGCAGCAAGTCTACTAGGACTTGCTACCTCCTTCCTGGTGGAATCTCTGTCAGGAGACCGATAAGGAAGGTTGTATTTTGAAAGGAAATTTAAGTGATCTTAAAGATCTGCCTTATCTGAATATTCTCTTCATCACATAGCACAGTGATTATTAACTTTGAGTGTTTGAAATAGCTGATGGGGTGGACGGAATTAAAATCTAAGAGCGAGTTTTTAAAAATGTATTTTGAACATTGTGTTTTTGGACATCAAAAGAATATAATTTAATTACATAAACTATAGAAAATGTTGTTAGAAAACATATACAAGAACAAATAATTGTGTTCTTTTCTGTGGGGTGAAATGGATGGGGAGGAGGTTAAAGGAGACTCACTTCATCAGTAATATGAATGTTGAGGGTGAAGAGGAGCAGGGACATTTTGTATTTAAATTTATTTTTATTCACTTAGAATTAATGGAAAGGTTAAAGTTTGAGGACATCTTGCCCAAAAAGATTGCAACAACAGAGCCTTCTGTTTCTGTCCCTGGCACCAAGCCATTCCCATGGTCTTGCATCGATATCTGTGAATTTGATTGAACAGAGTTTTAATGAATATCTTCCATATTTAAGACAAAGTTTGTTGAAGACAGTCATGGTCTTGGAGGTTATATCTTGTAGGAAAGGCAGAGAGTTAATCTGTCAGGAAGGGACAGATTCCAACAGAATAAATTGTTCAAGCATTAAAATCCTGCCTAGTAATTCATCTTAAATTTTTATATTTAACCCATGGCATTTGTGATTTCAAAAGTCTGGTTTTAATTGTTTTCAAGTGACCCTAATGACAAATGACAAAACGATGCCTGATATGGCAAATAATAATCTCCTTCTCAGATTGTTGTCCCCTTAAATTGTGAGGAGTAAGGTTTCTGATGCATAGCCCCTGGCATGATTTTGAATCACGTCCCGTGGAAGGATAAAGTGTGAAACCAAGATACTCAATTGTGGGTAAGCCAGGCAGTGGTCCTTCATATGCATCTCACCAGTGGTTGGGAATTCATGGAAATCTATGGATGTATACCTCAGAGAAGTCAGGTCTGTTAATCATTGTACAAAATCTAAAATAATTAATGAAAAGTGTTGGTCTGGGGAACTCCTGTTGAGGTTCTTACTGTAAGAAATATTGCTTCATAGTCTAAGGTTTGATTTGTTTGTGGGACAGCAAGATTTTGTTATTTAAATATGTTTTTGTTGTTCAGTTTTTCTCCCCTTCCCCTCTTTTATTTATAGGGAACTTGCTCAGTCACTTTCAATGGGCACCAAGAAAAAGGTCTTGGTTCTTGGATCTGGTTATGTATCTGAACCTGTGTTGGAATATCTGTCAAGAGATAACAAGATAGAAATCACAGTAGGTAAATAAGCCCTGATTTTTAAAGAAGAAGAAGGGAAACTGATTTCAGTGCATGCTTACTCCGTGAATTTTAGATGACTATCTTGTTTCTAAACTTTGAGAAATTATTTTTGGAGATGTCAAACTGTGTTTTACTCTCTGACTAGTGAAGAGTAATCTAAAAACTGGACTTTTGTATCCTCGAAATAGGCTCTGACATGAAGAACCAAATCGAACAGTTAGGCAAGAAATATAATATTAATCCTATTAGCGTGGACATTAGTAAACAAGAAGAGAAGTTGAGCTCCTTGGTGGCAAAACAGGATCTTGTCATCAGGTTAGTATCTAGGAGGAGATGATCGCCATGTACTGTTGTTATTGTTATGTCTCTCCTTATTTTCTCTCTCTAAGTAAATTTTCAATTGAAGTATGTACCCAGAAAAATGCCCAGATCCTAAGTGTATATAGTTCAGTCAATTTTCACAGTGAACCCACTTCATAACCATCATCCACATCCAGAAACAGAATAGCAGTACCCCAGAAGCCCTCCGTGTGTCTGTTACCACTATTAGCCCCATCCCTCAAAGGTAAGCACTATCTTGGCCTTTCATGTGTACATTACTTCTTGCTAGTTTTCAGCTTTGTACAATTGGAACAACTCAGTATGTTAATCTGTGGCTGCCTTCTTTCTGCAGTACTGTGATTGTGAGAGTTGTTTGTGTTGTTGCATGTAATTATAGTTTATTCATTCTCATTGCCATGTATCATTTCATTGTGTGAATATACCCTCATTAGCCCTTTGACTGTTGGATGTTCAGATTGTTTCTGGAATTTGACTATCATGAATTGTGTTGCTATGAACATTTTAGTATTTGTCTTTTGGTTGTCACATATACGCATTTCTGTTGGATATTTATCTAGAGGTGGAATTGGTGTGTCAGAAGTATTAGTGTTTCATATATTTTGGTGGCTCTTTTGTTGTTTGGACTTATAAAGCTTAAGTGAAAATGAGTAAATTCTCCAGCCTTATGACTATTTTTAATTTTATCGGAGGAACAGATCTTGAACTATAATGTTTACTACTGATAAAAATACAGATGTAACTTCTAGGTACAGAGCTACATGAGGGTACGCTATAATTAAACTGGGTTTTAAAATACCAAAGTGATGAGGATAGTCACTTATTCTTAGAATACAATTTTTCCAAGATGGAAGAAAAAAACTACCTGCTCATCCATAATTAGGTGACTTTCATAGTTAGATCAGATTGAAATGATATCTTGGAGGAAGTTCTGTGATGTCCTACTTTAAAAAAAACAAAAAACACAAAACAATACAGGTTTCAAAAACATACAGTAGGAAAGGTAATCTTGTGTGGGAACTTGTGTAATATTTCTTGATGTATTTAAATTATAGGCTCACTTTAGGCACTTAAAATGTTATTCTATTTATATAAATTTAATGTGCAATAATTTTTATTCAGCAAGAATTTACTGGTGACCCATAGATCTTGTCTGTCAGTGATATGATTATGATTCATAATGGAATGTTCTAGCCTCCTGTATAAAACAAAGGGAGTTTGTTTTGCCACGTATAGGTACCTAAATAAAACATTGTTTTTTTTTTCCATAAAAAAAAGAAAACATTATAAGGCACATTTGAAACTAAATCTGAAGCAAAATATGACAAGATAATAATCGGTTAATACGTGCATAGTTTGAAGTTTAGCAAAGTGATGGCCTCGAAAAAATGAATTTGACAAACACAGTGATATAGTGTGATAATGTTTATAGTTGTATTTATATTTTCATTGTACTATGAAGCTCATAGAACTTGAATATTGTTATGCAATTGACAGGATGTTTTATAATTCCTTCGATAGAACATGAATGTATTCATTTATATTAACATTTATGGAAATTCATTTTTTGTGATTGTGTAGTCCTAGTGCCAAATTAAAACACCAAAGCCAGACTTTTAAGAAAACTGAATTGAAGTTAAATTTTGAACACAGTTTCATTTTTTGCTTAGTGTATAGATTTCTAACCATTTTGATAGCTTTTACACTGGTCAGTACCATTAAAGCTTTTTTGCTTCTTTGGATTTTCTTAGATTCTACTCTGTCGTGTAACATCTGGGTCACTTTGACTTAGTTTAATCAACCTGATAACCATTTGGGAAATACGGAAGAAAAAGAAAAAGTACCTTCTCTTTTAGTAGGGGAACCAAGACAGAAAATCATAGAAATATAAGGATGAATGGAATAAATTCCATTAAATGTTGCAAAGAAATAGCTGAATGAATGCAGAATAATATCTGGCTTTGGGGAAATCTGGGAGAGCTTCTTGGCGGAGATGCCTTTTCAGACATTCTTTAAGTAGGGTATGACCTGGATTGGGGGTGAGTGGGTGGACATAATATTCCAAGTAGAAGGTACAGTAATAGTAAAGTTCCAGAGCTGGAAAAGTACAGGCTGTGAGTGGAGAATTATGATAACTTCTTTGGTTCCCGTATATGGTTTATGAAGAAGATAGAGGGAGAATAATGGAAAAATTAGGTGAAGGTCAAATTGTGGAGGGTTTTAAATGTGATAACAGGATGAATTTATTCTGTAGTTCTCAAAAGAGTCATTGGTCACAGAATAATCAGAGTGATGTCTCAGCTTTAGTTCAATTCAAGGTACTTTGAAAGGTAGGGTTGGAAAAGTTTCTGATTAGTTTCTCTCTGTTTTTAAGCTTGTTGCCTTACGCATTGCATCCTCTTGTGGCGAAGGCATGCATCACAAGCAAAGTTAACATGATCACTGCAAGCTACATCACACCAGCACTAAAAGAATTAGAAAAGAGGTAAGTTTCAAGTCATTTTCAGCAAAGTGGCTCCATGGCATTATTTTTATTTAATATCCAACTTTTTCTCCCTCCCCTTCTTGCCTGTTGTAGTGTGGAAGATGCTGGCATCACAGTCATTGGTGAACTGGGATTGGACCCTGGTCTTGATCATATGCTGGCAATGGAAACTATAGATAAGGCCAAGGAAGTGGGAGCCACGGTGAGCCCAATTTACAACCAAAGGTCCACTTAGGAAAATACTAAATACTAGATACTTTCTAAAATACTAAATACTTTCCATTTAGGAAAATACTAAAAGGTCCAGACTTTTGTGTACAGAATAGTCTCTTTATAATTTTAATTAAGGAAGCTGCTATATTCTAACTCATACTTTGACTAGAAGTTTCTAGTAAAATCCTTTAACTGCAGAAATATCTGTATGGTAAAACAGTGTCCAAGGCTTAACAATAGATTTTTAGAGAAATAGATGCTACTATAACATTTGTTTTAATGAAAGATTTTAGACAGCTTTTGGAGATAGTAAGGTTTGATTTTTATTTTTTAATTCTTTTTTAAAGTAGCCTTAAGAACAATCATTTTTATTTTTTTCCCACTTGATTTGTTTTTTATTATTTTTAATTATTTTAAAATTTAAATTCAGTTAATTAACATAAAGTATATTATTAGTTTCAGAGGTAGAGTTCAGTAATTCATTAGTTTTATATAATACCCAGTGCTCATTACATCTCATGCCCTCCTTAATGCCCATCTCCCCATCCCCCCATCCCTCTCCCCTCTAGCAACCCCATCCCTCCACACTCCTCCCCCCAGCAAACTCTTAATCCTATAGTTAAGAGTCTCTTATGGTTAGTCTCCCTCTCTGATTTTGTCTTGTTTTATTTTTCCCTCTCTCCCCCTATGATCTGTTTTGTTTCTTAAATGCCCTATATGAGTGAGATCATATGGTAATTGTCTTTCTCTGATTGACTTGTTTCGCTTAGCATAATACCCTCTAGCTCCATCCACATCATTGCAAATGGCAAGATTTCTTTCTTTCTTTTTTTTTTTTCTTTTTGGATGGCTAAGTGGTATTCCGTTGTATATATATATACCATATCTTCTTTATCTATGAATGGATAAAGGCTTAACTTTTAAAAGTGGGAAAAATTCTTTGGAATATTTTCAGTCTTTGGTATATAAAGTATCTTTTATACATGAGAAGGAACTATTGGATATGAAAATGTGGTGAGTCAGATTAAATACTTTAGGTTATATATATGTAACATGTATGCAATCACATATAGAATCAAGTCAACTAGAATTATGTTTTATATAAAGATTAATTATATTATGTATTAATTCTTTACTAATATTATTTATACCTATATATTACAAATATATAATCAAATTATAATCAAATGTATCATTTGAACACAAAAGTCAGGAGGAACTGACCAAGCAGAATTGAATTAATAGTTGGATTTTTAACTAGCAAAATATTAGTCACAATATCCAGTGGATTTAAAAAAAATTTTTAAATATTTAAAAAATTTTTTAAAGTTTTTATGTATATATACACACATATATAGCATATATACACAGATATGTATATATATATTTATATAAATATAACTGACTTAATAAATAGAGTTTGGCTTTAAGGAAGGGTTAAAGGCTTTAAGAAAGGCTTTTGAAAGCCTTTGTAAATGTCAGGGAAAAAACGCAGCAAGTTCACCTCATTTATCCCATTTCTGTCATTGTCTTTCATCCCTTATTTTCAGATTGAATCTTACATTTCCTACTGTGGTGGGCTTCCAGCCCCTGAACATTCAGACAATCCTTTGAGATACAAATTTAGCTGGAGTCCAGTGGGAGTTCTGATGAACATAATGCAGCCTGCCACCTACCTGCTCAATGGAAAGGTAAAGGATTACCAACAAAGCTTTAGAGATACAAACCTGCAGTAACTGTCTCAGAAAGTCCAGACCCCTCCTCCCTGAAACCAAGGCCTTTGGTATTGGCTGTGCTGTGTCCTCCGTTCTCTCCTCCACCAGTGTTCCCCAGTGGGTCTTCTCTGTTCCAGTTAGTGTGGTATGCCGGCTGTTCCCAGCAAAGCCTATGCTCATTCTTTCTTCTTCACCTTCTTCCAGGTTGTTCCTGCAGTTTGAAAATTTACTTCTCAGCTTGTCTGCATGTATAAATGCAGGTTGTCTTGTGATTTCTTTCAGCAGGACAAACATTTACTGGGTCCTAAATATGTGCTGAGACCCTACTGAGTTCAAGGCGCCGAAGGTGATCACACTGAACGAAGTCCTTGACCTCGAAGGACTCATAGCTGGAATGGGGGTGGCTCTTGGAATGGAGGGTTTAGTGGATCAGGGAAAGAAACTAATTTTCTCGCCCAGCTGCTATGTGCCAGAATACAAGAGCCCTTGGAATTCAGTGTTATTTTCATCATTTTGCGGTAAGGAAGCCATGGCTCGAAGAGAATGCTCAGACTTTCAGCTGGGATTCAAACCCAGGTCTGACTGATCCCAAAGTGTTTTCTCTTTTACCAGATTACCTCATGGGAGGTAAGACGCACTGGGATAAACGGCTAAGTTTATCCAGTGGGAGAAGTTTTAGAGGGAGCTAAAGTGCCACGGGATACGGAGGAGAGAGCAGTTGATGTGACCTTGGCGGGGATGGGGCAGAAAGTTGGCCGCAGGAGATGTGCTAAGCCTGGGAGGATAAGCAGGTGCCGGCTGGACAGGGACGCTGCCTCCCTGCTGCTGAGCGCCAACTGCATTTGATCCTTGCGACTGCCCAGTGGGTGGCCTGGCTAACTCAGTAGGAAGCAAAGGAAGCATGGCTAACTCAGCCACAGTCCCAGAGACCACAGGTGGCACAGGTGGGGTCCAGAGCGCACGCGGTTTGCCTTCCTAGTTCATGCTCGTAGCTGTAAGGAAGGATTCCCCCGAAGAACAGGTGTAACTGGACTGCCGGCTTCATTTGAAATTTTGTGCTCTGGGCACCTCACCTCTCCCTCGCCCTGCAGGGAGTGGCGCAGGATGGGATCAGCTGTGTGTCTTACAAAGATTATTCAAGCAGCAGTATTATTAATTCCCAGTGTATCTGAATTTAAACGTATTTTGTGTTCAAAGGAGTAAGTCGAAAGAAGTTCTCGAGATACAAGGTGAACGTTTTTTTTTTTAAAAGATTTTATTTATTTGACAGAGAGAGATCACAAGTAGAGAGAGAGAGAGAGGAGGAAGCAGGCTCCCTGCCCAGCAGAGAGCCCGATGTGGGACTCGATCCCAGGACCCTGAGATCATGACCTGAGCTGAAGGCAGAGGCTTAACCCACTGAGCCACCCAGGCAGCCCCAAAGTGAACATTCTTATCAGTCCTGGTCTTCTGTGCTTACAATGCATAGAGTGTACATTGTAGCCTTAACTGCAAATTGGACTCACCAGGCAGTTTAGAAAATAATGAGGACTGGGCCCATCCCCAGAGATGCTGATTTGCCTAGGTTTGGGGATCTTCAGAAACTCCCCAAATGATTCTGATGTGCAGCTGAATTTGAGAAGAGCCGATTTAGCAACCGGAGGACCGTATCCAGCTGCACTTAAAACACCAGCAAACAGGCAGGACACTGATGCTGGAAAGACATGCATGTGTTTCAGGATATGAACCAGGACCCCTGAGTTCTGGTCCAAGTGCTGACATCCCTCATGGCACCACCAAAGTCCAGGCAATGGTAAAGGTCCACTGGGCACTAACTCCTGATGGTAATGTGGCTACCGATATCCCACCCAGTTCTCTAGTTCTAAGAATCATGAAGGTTTGGGCCTGAAACAGTCTTGATGTTCTGCAAAGCACATCCTTATATCCACTGCCTGCCTCCTGTCACGGGTAGCAGCATCTTCCACCACCTGCTGTCCTGAAAAAGAGACTAGCCCGTGTTTGGTGTACACTAACATGTGAATGCAGGGAAAATTCTTGCTTCCATTGGGCAAATGCTTGTTTTCAGGAAGCCATATAAATGAGAAGGTGATAAGCATGGAGGGGTCAGCAGAGTGCAGCCTGTGTGGGAGGAAGAGTGTGAGCTCTGATATTAGTGGGCCTGGCTTGGTGCTCTAACTCTACCACGACCAGCTGGGTGGCACTAGAACCATCTGTGAAGCTCTCTTAGCTTTGGGTTCCTTGTCTGAAGATAAGGCTGTGTGGGGTCCTTGCAGTGGGGCCACTGGGCTCCCATAGATGGCAGTCTGCCTAACAGCGGGTTCTCCAGCAGGGCGTAAGTCTCCAGCAGAAATTAGCTATGTAAAGAAATCGATAGTGGAAAAGCAAGAGGTTATTTTCAGGCAGCAGAAGTTGTGTGTATTGAATTTGAAGTTTCTCCCTTTCATCCCAAACTCCTTTTGTAAAAAAGGAATGCTTTTTGCATCTCCCTGACACTGCAGAGGAGGCTGAGAGAAAACGCGATGCTTTGCTTTTCTTTGCTAAAATGATACTTTTTTCAAGGTCCCACTCAAGTTCCCTCTTGTGGATGCAGCTTTTCCTGACCACTCCAGACCCCATTCACTATTCTTTTGTCCAGACTCCTACACTTTGTATGTCTGTAAGAAGCTTCCGGATGCTGTATTATTCGCTCAGTAATTCAAGTGCATCTGTCTGTCTCCCAACCCAGATTGTTAAACTTCTTAAAGCTTCTCTTGTAGTCTTGTCCGTCCATCCCCCTGCCGCCGTCACCCCCACCACGGAGCAGGCATATGATTCAGGGACTCATGATGGAGGGTCAGGTGACCTCTCTGGTTTCTGTTTAAAGTTGAAGGCTTAAACTTTTCCAGCAACTCAGGCTGTGGCCTGTGATCTGGGATGTAGCTCATTGTTCCAGCGGCTGGCACCATTTTTAACTTCTAACTTCTGATGGTGTTTCTAGCAACTAGGATTCCCTTCCACGTATTTTAGTTCTCTCCTCTCTGAGGGTAGTGGAACATTGGTGGCACCGAGGAGCAACGTGGCAAGAACTTTGCCATCATCTCCTTCAGCCTCCTCTCCCAAGCCACTCCTGCTAAGACAAATACTCTCCAGGTTCTGCTTGCTCTGAAAACACAACTCTGAGATAGGTTTTGTAGCTTTCTTCCCATTGCCTGCCCCTACCCGGACTGCAGCGCCCAGCCCTCCTTTGTAGGAAGAGCCGCTGCTCTCCATTGCCTGCAGTCCATTTTGAGTGAAGTTTGCTGGTGTATCACCGGTGTCATGATCTGGAATGCCACACCTGGTCAACGAGTAGCCTTCTCAAAATACTGATACACAAATAAGCACAATTAGGGGGACAGTATGGTCTAGTAGAAAGAACATGGGCATTGGAGTCAGACCAGGTTCAGATCCTCCTCTGGGTGACTCCCAGTTTCCGCCTTTGAAAAATGGGTTTGTGTGAACTAAAGGTAATATATATAAGGCACCAGGCACAGAATGAGTCCTGTATTTTCTTTATTTAAATGTTTTGTCAGTTTATCAATCAAGCTTACTGTCCATCAGTGGCTGGGAGACGTGTGGGTGTGGGAAGAGTTGGACTTAGGGCAGCCTGTGGCCACAGTGGGTAATGGGCCACTGTTTCTGCCGACAGTGGGTGTTGGGAGTGAACCACTGTTGAGTCAGAAAAAACTGCATATTGTCTGCCAAATAAATAAATATGTCTTTCTTCATCCAAACCATTAATAAAATATTAAACAGGATAGGGCTTATTCGTGAACCCCACGATATACCACTGAACTCTGTATTGATGCCAGATGACAGCGATTACCCAGTAATTTGGGGGACAAGTTGTTTTGGCAGCTGTCAGTCTCTAAGCAAATCATTACTGTTCAGCTGATATTTCCCTCTTTTCTTCCAAGGACCTCATGATAAACTTATGAACCAGCTGATTTATTTCTGATTAGTGAGGTGCTGGAATATAGTAGTCTCTACTGAATTTTTCTTTAAAACTATTTCCTAATAAGTAAAAAAACAAACAAATAAGCAAACTTTAGAATTGCCATGAGTTCCAGAAGTAAGATGTGTGTGGAGGCCCCAAAAGTTAACATTTGCCTTCTTACTAGGTTTTTTTTTTTTTTTTTAATTTACTATTCTGATAGAAGAGATGAGTGTGAAAGCACTAGGGCAGAAATGGTCCCTCTGGAAGTGTTCACTGTGCAGTCCAGCGGAGTTTCCTAAGAAAGTTAAATGAGAAGCCCTTGGCGTCCTTTGGCTTCTCCCTCCTGGAGTTGTAGTGGGGCTTGATGCTCTGCAAACCTAAGCCTTTAACTGCAGACATGCCACCAAGGCCTGACCCCTCCTGGGCCTGCAGCCACCTCCACAGCCTTTTCCTTTTCCTTTCTCAGGACAAGGCACTCGTAGAACCCATCTATACATAAGCTCCAGGGCTCATTGGATTGAGCTTCTAGAAGACTCCCGTGGGTGGTTCTGTGCAGCTGCAGACACGTGGTCAGAAGCTGTTTCCAGTGGTGCAGGAGGGACAAACCCAGTTCTGCCAGCAGCCCCCAGATTCTCAGCCCTGATTTGATCACACGAAGATGTTTTCCATCATCTCATAAACCTCACACACCCAAAGAACACTTTAGTCCTTTCATCAGACTCAAAGGGAAAAACATGCTTTTCCCTTTGAGTGTGCCTTTTGAGTGTGAGATTAGGGAGGGAGTGGGTCAGAGGATTACTGAGAAATCAGAAGAGCTTGGGAATTGATTTCTCAGCAGCAGTAAGACCATGGGTAGCACTTAACTTTGAGTTTCACTGTCTGTTCCTGTGCTGTCTTTCCTGTAAGGGGACGTCTCTCCCACTGCCATCCCCAGCGTACGCCTGTAGGCTGACTAGTCTAGGCCGCGAGCTCCTTGCGCTTGATCCAGCCCAGCTGGCACTTGGTGGACATTCAGTAAATGTGTGTTCAGTGAATGAAGGAAGGGATGAAGACAGAGACTGCAACTTCATCACTCTCCTTCCCTCCCCAATGAGTGTGATCGTGGCACATAGGTAGTAGGTGTCCCGTTAATGTGAGCTGTGACAGAAATGTACAAGACTGGTTGCCCGGCAGCATTCATAGGGGTGTGTAAGTGAAGAATGAAGTGAAGATGCCACTGTTACCCGAGCACAGCTTTTTAAATGAGTGTCTGTTTCTTTTAGCTTATTGTTTATTTAAAAAGCAAACCCTTAATGGGACATAATTCAGTACCATCTTACCAGATGTAAGTCCGATTTTAGACCTTGGGAGATTCATGGCCTTCTGAATCGTTAGTGAAATAGCTTGAGTATGGGATGTCAATTATGGTAGTTTCATTAGCTTTTTTTTCTCAAATCCTCTGTTGCTTTTTTAAAATGTTGATTTATTTTTTATCCAAGTAATCCAGGTTAAGTCCCCAGGGGAGCACAGTGTTGTAACCCCATTGTGCCTTTTCATTGTTCTTCAGGTTGTGAATGTTGCAGGGGGCATCTCCTTTCTTGATGCGGTTACTCCCATGGATTATTTCCCCGGGTTGAATTTGGAAGGCTATCCTAACAGAGACAGTACAAAATACGCTGAGATATATGGCATTCCATCAGCTCACACTTTGCTGCGGGGGACGCTGAGATACAAGGTAAGCAGCTGTATTTGAGATGAAACATGTTTCCTGTTTTGATGTAAGTGATATGTGTGCTTAATTTATCTTGGTAACAAAAATAAGATAATAAACCAGGTTGGAGTCTGTTTTCTCAGAACTCTTTTGAGCAAATGTTTTAGGAGACAACTCAGGAAGGCCAAAAGAGAGCTTTTGACTAATGAGGAGTTGGGCCACGGGGGCGGGGGAGGTGAAGGGTCACCTTCAGGTGTAGTGAGACTGGGGTCAGGTGACCTCATGGAGACTTGGTTTCTCTTCGCCTCTTATCTCTTCCTTTGAGTGCTGACCACAGTCCCAGGCTCTACGTGGAGGCACTGTGGTGGCAGCATCCCCAGTCTCTTTGGTTCAAATCCAGTGAGAATGAGAAAGTATGGTTAAAAATACCATCTTTGTCTCCTTAGCCCGTGAGGTCAGTGGGATAAAAAATGCCAAATAGCTTTTGTGTTTTGTTTCATGTCCCTAAAACTGAAGATGTAGTCAGCATCATTTTACCCAAAGAAAATCTAAAATGTTTTTACCACAAAATGGGGTGTAGATTCTTGGAGCATAAGCACAAATGTCCACCACACATTTAAGGATTAATGACAAAGGAGTAGTAACAAGTATGACCAGTTTAAGACAATCAGTGTAATAGTTTCCTAGGGCTGTTTTAACAAATTACTGCAAACCATGTAGCTTACAACAACAGAAATTGATTCTGTCACCATTCTCAGGGTCACAAGTTGACTCCCCTCCCTCACATTCATGTGATTTCAGAAGAAGCTCTCTGATTCCTACCTCTTACCCTTCCTGGTCTATGCATTAGGATAGTGGCTCCTAATCAGCAGAATAGCATATCTGTTTGGGGGAGTATAATATTCTTACAAGCTCCTTCCATTATAAGAGAGGGAACTGTTCTATTAAATACTATTCTGCTGAACTGGAAGTACATAATACAGGAGGACATTTGCACTTCTGCTGCCAGGAATACCCCTCCCATGTTGCCCAGAAACAGAAGCAAAGATCCGAGTCTTTGAAGAGCTGTTACGTAAAGCAGCAGAATTGCTGTGACACTCTTGATTCTGGTCTGAACCTGAGGTGTTTGCGTCCAGTAAGCAAGTCAGATGACTACTTTCAGCCTGTCTTTTATATGAATTACAAGGACGGGTCCCTCTTTTCAATAAAACTCCTCTAAATTTTTTTTCTTTGAAGGGAAGTATTTCATATTCTACTTAATAATTCTTGTTTTAGGGGTATGCCAAAGCTTTGAATGGATTTGTAAAACTGGGTCTTATAAATAGAGATGCATTTCCTGCCCTTCGACCTGAGGCCAGCCCTCTCACTTGGGTGAGTGACTCCAGAATTACATGTTTGTGGTTCTTCAGAAATGCTCAGGTTTGCACTTGGGTTTGGACTAGCAAAGGTACCTATCCTGTGGCTTAGATAAACCCTAACCCTTCCAAACCCCTTATCTTTCCTTGTTGTGGAAGGATGGTGAGATCATGGGCCTGACCCACTGGGCTTACTTCCTGTAGCAGCTTGTACTACTAGATTGCTCCCTCCCTCAGCCTTGAGAAGAGATGGATTTGGGCTCTGGGCTCTGCCACTTGTCGACCACAGTGGTCACCCAGTGACAGGAGATACACTGGGGCCTCCTACAAATGATATCCCAGAAGAGCTATTGGCGGCATCACAGCCTGGACTCCCTATCCCCAAATCCCATCAGTTCTCTCCGTTGGTCATTTTTAGCCATGAGTAATTTGAGTTTTCAGTTACAGAATGGATGCCCGTATTTGTGTTGCATTAAAATCTTAGAGTCTCCAGGTCGGAAGGGACTTTGAAGACTTGGAATTAAATGTAAAGCAGAGGTTCCCCTACTGTTAACTGTTAATAGTTGGTCATCCAACTTGAACCAGTGTGCCCGTATTCCAGTGGAAATGCCAGCAGTTCACTATAAGGAGAAAAAGATCAGTGTTGCTAATTTTGGCATTCTTGCTAGCCATTGCTTTAGATTCAGTTTTCCATGTATCTGAGAGCCTTCCAGATCTTTTTACCTTCCATAAATATACAGGTGGGACAGGAGTTAATAAACATCTATAGAGTGAATTCCGAGTTCGAGGCAGCTGGATTGGGAGGGTTTGTACAGGTATTCTTAGGGGGTGGTTGCAGTATTTTGGTAGCTACAGTTTAGAATAGGAGCTGGCAAACATTTTGTGTGTGTGTGTGTGTGTGTGTGTGTGTGTGTGTGTGTAAAGGACTAGATTGTAAATATATTAGGTTTCATGAGCCATATGTACTCAATTCTGCCATAGACAAATACATAAATGAGTATGGCTATCTTCTAATAAAATTTTTCTTTACAAAACCAGGTGATGAGCCAAATTTGGCCCGTGAACCAGTTTGTTTTTCTTTAATCAAGAGCATAACTTTCCCCCTTGAAATCCTGGAAAAAAGTCTCGTTTAGAAAGTAGAAAAAGCTATGACCATAGCTTAAGTGTTATTGCTTTGAGGTTTTATTATCTGCAAGGTCTTTCTCATCTCTTGAACCTACAAAAGAACTCTGGTTGCTACTGGCAACTGTAGCAATGAGTCCCTTCCTCTTGATCCTGACCAAAATGGACTACTAGAGGGTGAGGGAGAATGGGTGAAAAAGTAATGGAGAGAATGTGATGGTAAATATGGTGCCACCTGTTTAGTAATGGTTTCATGTTATGACCCATTTTTATTGCTGAAAACTGTTCGGAATATCATTTATTGATGGGTGAGTGTGTAGACGTGTGTGTATGTATGTGTAAGTATTACAGTTTACTATTTCTAGTCATTTCTAATTTAAAGTTTGAGGTGCCTTTGTGATCAGATGTCTTAATATGATAATTTCTCAACTGATTATTTATTAGGAACTGAGAATTTTATCTCTGTTTTTATGACCAGAAAGAACTCCTTTGTGATCTGGTTGGGATTTCCCCCTCCTCCAAGCATGATGTGCTCAAGGAAGCTGTCTTTGAGAAACTAGGAAGAGACAACACCCAGCTGGAGGCTGCTGAATGGTAGGTACCCACCAGTCGACTTAGAGAGCAAAATACTGAATTCCTTCAATATCAATACAAAGATCAATGATTTTTCAGTCTTTTCTAGTCAAAAAGGGTCAAGATAGAACCAGACATTTTACAATGTCTTTGATTAATTTGCTGCTCTAATGTTGGCCTGTTGTAGACAGATTGCCACATATACTGTGTTCATGTGGGGATAAAAAGTAGATAAAGAGAGAACTTCAGTGGCAGTTATAACTTGGGAAATACTTATTTTGAGGCACTTTACTACTCAGTTCCCAAGTAAGATGGGATGTTTTTTTCTCTCCCTTAGGAGAGTCTCCTAGTCTTCTGCAACTACTTTAAAATGTTCATTCACACAGATATGGCACATTATGCTGGTCTCCTTAATGTGGGAGAACTAACCTGCAAATTAATCTCACGAGAAGTTTTACAATAGTGTGGATTTATAGTGTGTCAATTCAGCTCCAGGGAGCACTGCCTTTGGGGGGGGTGTCTGATGATTCTAAATATTAAAACATTACTATTGTACTGTTGTTTACAGTATAGGAGAGTCTATAACTTGGACTGTCATCTTTTGATTCTTCCCTGTCAGGATAAAAATCCAAAGAGCTCCCTTCTTCTTCCCAAGTGGGATTTTGTGTAGGACTTGACCTAACACAGCTACCTCTTGTGCTTTTCAGGTTGGGCTTACTTGGGGATGAACAAGTCCCTCAAGCAGAGTCTGTGGTGGATGCCCTCTCTAAACATTTGGCCAGGAAACTCTCCTATGGTAGGCCATGGGGTATTAGCTACACATCCCAGAAGCAGCATCCTAAGCAGTCAGCGCCACTAGTGAATATGAGGGCAGGGCTGGAGCCAACCAGTAAGGATGGGGAAGTATACTAGGAAGGAAAGAACACTAGGGCTATTTTTCCTGAGGGAAGAATGAGAGAACTATCAAGTAGGAATGAACTTGGGGGATATAGGAAAGGAACAAATAAATATTTTTAATGCATTAGGAAAATGCTGATGGGACATTTTTGGGGTAAGAGTGGGCACTTTCATGTCTATAGTCAGGCAACAGTGATACCAACCTGGACGAGGGAACGTGGCCAGAGTTATCATTTCTTGAGTTTTTCTCTTGGCCTTTGGGCTAAAGAACAGTATAGATAATTGTTTAAGGAACACATATGATGGGAGGAGAAACTTGTGAGAGCAGAAGGGTAGGAGCAGATGAATTTCAGTATTGGAGTTGTAATGATAATGACATTTAAGAATGTCTGTTTATTCATTTTAAGGCCCTGGAGAGAAAGATATGATTGTGATGAGAGACAGTTTTGGAATCAGACATCCTTCTGGACATTTGGAAAATAAAACTATCAATCTTGTGGTTTATGGGGACATCAATGGCTTTTCAGCCATGGCTAAAACTGTGGGGTTACCCACTGCCATGGCAGCCAAAATGTTACTTGATGGTAAGTTCTTTTTTGGAGATCTGACTCTGTCTCCATTCATCCCCAAGTCATTCAGTGCTTGGATATCAAATAATTGCTCTTGAGTATGAGACTGGTGTTCACTAAAAGTGAGCTGTCTCCGAAGTTTAAGTACTGACTTGACTGGAAGGTCACCTGATGGTGAGTAAAAGCCATGGGGTTTAGAGTTATACCCATTTTTGGCTCAGTTCATTCACAAGATGGCAGCGTGATGCAGTGCAAGTTACTCAGCATATCTGAGCTCTAGAGCTCCCTTGTCTTTAAAATGGGGATTGTCATCCAAATTCATAGTTTGTGGGGTTTTTTTGTGATGCTGAAATGAAATAATACATAGAGCTCCTACCACATACATGATACCCCAGGCAATGGTAACTCTTCCTTTCTTCCTTTCATTTCCCTTCATATTTTAGGGGTGCTAACACTGAAAGAGCAGAGGGTATTTGCTTCCAGATCCCCAGAAATACAGACCATGTTTTATTAATCTTCATTTCTCAGTATGTTATCAGCACTCAATAAATATTTTGAATGAGGTGAATTCAAATTTTAACTCTTCCCTCTCCCCTTGAGGTCATCTGTACCCTTTAAGCATTACCTCTGAGTATAATCCTTCATTTGGCCCTTGTGAGTGTGTGAGGGGAATAACAACATCAGGCAACTAAATGTGAAATACTGAAAAAAATGTATCTACAATAGCGTATCAGCTAATATCAAATTAAATGACCTTATATTGATTAAATGATTGAATAACTTAGTTATTGAGGAACCAGAGTAAAGAGGTGATGAGGGGTGAGGTCATCACGGGCTTTAAGGAAACTACTCAGACTTTCTGTTTCAGTCATCTTGACAAAAGCCTGTGCCCAGATAATCAGATTGGTTTCAATTCATTCTGTTGGTGTTTTGCCCTTTTTTTTTTTTTTAAAGCATCAGCAAATAAAGCAGACAAGTTAGGTTTACTTTTCTGTCTTACTACACTTGATTCTCTGATCATTTTGGCAATAGTTAATACAGTTAAATACAAATTCTGATACTATCCCTTAGTCCAGCTCTGCTTTCAATCTACAGTTAACACCTTTCCCTGTTTGTGATATGGAGACTCTTGCTGTGGAAATGAACCTCAATAATACCTTTAAAATGGTAACTACAAATTTATTTTCTTCTAGGTGAAATTAAAGCTAAAGGCCTGATGGGGCCCTTTTCAAAGGACATCTATGGACCAATATTGGAGCGAATTAAAGCAGAAGGCATTATATATACAACACAGAGCACAATTAAACTGTAATTAAGAATTATATCTTATTTTTATCTTCCCAGGCAACACAGCTCTGAACATTTGTGCAACAAACCTACTTGCTAATGTGCTACTTTGAAATACAAAGCTTGATATTTTTTGAGTCAGTCAATACAATGATGTTTTTAAAATATAAGTCTCTATTTTAATATGAAAACATCTGGAACAGGAGATGCCAGTAATTACCAGAAAACTTTAATAATTCTACATGTATTTCTTCATGTGTATGCAAAAGTGATGATTGTACTGTATGTTAATTTATTGTGCAACTTTTTTCTTACAAGAATATATTTTCTTATGATCAGCAGATAAACTTTTATCTTTTTAGTAAGAAAAATTTTTTCACAAAGTTATATTTTTGTATTTTTCAAATGGATTCAGTTAGATACTCTTAGATTACCCATCTATAAGCCTTTGCAATAATTCTGTTCAATGTTTTTTCAGTAAAATTATGATTTATCTAGTAAATGACATTTTTTTATAGTTTTCTCTTGAGTGTTTGTAAAAGGAAATAAGATTAATTCAGAGTCCACATGATCACCTCATTAGGGGCAGAAAAAGCATTTAACAAAATTTAATACCCTGTTGTAATAAAAAAGACTCAACAAACTAGGAATTGAAAGGAGCTTTTTCAACCTGATGAAGAACATCTATGAAAAACTCATAGTCAGCATCACAACTTACTTAAAGACCGAAAGATTTCCCCTTGAAATCAGAAACAAGAAAATGAGGCTGTTGGCACTTCTACTCAACTTGTACCAGAGGGTCTAGCCAGGGCAGTTAGGCAAGAAGATGAAATACAATATATCCAGATTTGGAGGGAAGAAATAGAACTATCTCTATTTGCAGATGGTATTATCCTATACAGAGAAAATCCAAATGAATACTTTAAGAAAACATTAGAACTAATACGTGAATTCAGCAAAGTTGCAGAACACAAGAGTAATGTACAAAATTGATGATGTTTCTATATAATATCAGTAAACGAAACAAAAATGATACTGGGAAAACAATTCAATTTACCATAGCATGAAAAAAAAAATAGGAATAGATTGTGAGTCCAGAAACAATCCTCATGTTTATGGTCAAGTTGATTTTTGAAAAAGTTGGTAAGACAACTCAATAGAGGAAAACAGTCTTTCCATCAAATGAACCACTGAATATCCACATACAAAAGGATGAAGTTGGACTCCTTCCTCACAGCGTATACAAAAATGAACTCAGAATGGACCAAAGACCTAATTATAAGAGCAAACTCCATAAAACTTAAGAAAGCATAGTTGGAAGTCTTCATGCCCTTGGATTAGGCAATGGTTTCTCAAGTAATTAAAACCAAAAGCACAAACAACAGAAGGAAAAAAATAGATAAATTGCACATCATTGTCAGAATTAAAAACTTCTGTGCTTCCAAGAATACCATCAAGAAAGCAGAAAGACGACCCGTAGAATGAGAGAAAATTTTTGCAAATCATGAATCAGGTAAGGGAGGAACCTGCATAAAGGACGACTGCAGCTTAATAAGTAGACGAAGAGGCCAGTTAAAAAAGTGGACTAAGGATGTGAATTGACAGCTCTCCAAAGAAGATACACGAAACCAATAAGCAAATGAAAAAATGCTGAACACCATGAGCTACCAGGGAAATGCAAATCAAACATAATGAGATACCACTTCATACGCATCAGGATAGTTAATAAAGAAAATGATAGAAAGTGTTTGCGGGGATGTGGAGAAACTGGAACCCTCATAAACTGCTGGTGGAAATGCAAAATTATGCCGCCACTTGGGAAGACACAAGTTCCTCAAAAAAGTTAAGCATAGAGTTACCACAGGAGCCAGCAATTCCACTCTTAGGTACATACCCAAGAAAAATGAAAATATACGTCCACACGAAAACTTTAAGTAAATGTTTATGGCAGCATTATTCACAATAACAAAATATCAAAACAAGCCGTCAATGAATAAATGAATAAACAAAATGTGGCTATCCATACAATGGAACATTATTTGGTAATAAAAGGGAAATGAAGTTCTGATACATGCTACCACATGGAGGAACCTTGAAAAGATTATGCTAAGTGAAAGAAGCCAGACAAAAAGTCCACAGTGTGGTATGATCTCATTTATATGAAATTGTCCAGATAGTCATATCTATATTTAGAGAAAATAGATTAGTGGCTGCCTAGAGCTGGGGACTTGGGGGAAAGTGGGACTGATACCTGATGAATTTGGGTTTCTTTTTAGGGTGATAAGAATGTTGTAGAGTTGATTGAGGTAACAGTGTCACAACTTTGTGTATATACTAAAAATCATTAAACTGTATACTTCGTGTGAATTATATAGGATATGAATTCTATCTCAAGTTATAAAATGATTATAAATAAAAAATTTCTTGTTCCTTGGGGAAAAATATAAACTAAATATTCCTTTTGAAATATAGAATAAACCCTTGTTTGCCATTCTAGGACTATACACATATCCTAGTATGGAACGAATTCTGCCCTTGAAATAAGCAGGTATTATGCATGGCGTATAAAGAAGTTGAGAAAACAGCTATGATATTTGAAAAGGATCTAGGTTGATGAAGGCCTAGTCCTACCTGTCAAAAATAATATATGTAGATCAATATTAATAAGTAAAAACATTTGTGTTATGGCATTTTTTTTTTTTTTTTAACCACAACCCTGAGTTCAACGAGGTCAGGAAATAGGAGTGTCACATTGATTCTACCTCCAATCGGGAATAATGCCCAGATGTGGTGGGAACTAGGGAACTAGCACTTCAGGTGAGGGAGGAAAGAGTGTTGAGTGCTCAGTTTAATTAACTGGTTTGGCTTCTTAATAACAATGAATGATAAAGGAGATATGATTAAAGAGCTAGTCTACTGTCAGTGATAGAAAAGGAATGTCAGTAAGCTTGAGTAAAGATGGATGTAATGACACACTTCATTGGCTCTCAATAAGTTTTCTAGCAGAAATTTCAGAAATGAGGGGCGCCTGGGTGGCTCAGTCATTAAACGTCTGCCTTTGGCTCAAGTCATGATCCCAGAGTCGTGGGATCAAGCCCCGCATTGGCTCCCTGCTCAGTGGAAGCCTGTTTCTCCCTCTCTCACTCCCCCTGCTTGTGTTCTCTCTTTCACTGTGTCTCTCTCTGTCAAATAAATCTTCAAAAATGAAGGTGATGGTGATAAGATCTGGGGATAAATGGGTAGGTTATAATTACAAGCACATGGCTTGCTCAGGGGTCAGCAAACTTTTACTATAAAGGGCTAGATATTACATATTTTAGGCTTTATAGGCCAGCAGGGATCATAATTGCTCATTTCTGCCTTTGTAGTGGGAAATCAGCCCTAGACTACATAAATGAATGGGCATGGCTATGTTCTAGTAAAACAAGTGACGGGCAGACTTGGCCCTTGAGCCATAGTTTGTTAACCCTTGGTCCTACCATTATAGTAGACTAAATGCTCACATCTTCCAGGTCTCTTTTGGTCTCTTTCATATAGAATCCATATTTATGTTGTCCGGTTTTCCTTGTCCTAGACAAAGTGGATACTAGGAGCTTCTAAAGAGTAATTTGGTTGGTTCTATGATATATCAGCTATTTTCTCCTCCATAAAATAAGGATAACAGTAACTTGTAGTATGATTATAAAGATGAATGAGCAAATGTAAAGGAAAGGCTGGTACCTCATAGATGTTCAAAGCTAGTGTTCTTCCCTCTTCTGCAATAACATTTTGCCTGACATTTATGTTAAAGTTAATGAAATTTTAGCTTAGAGATTTTTTTTTTCAATCATTTGGATACCTTTGGAAGAATCCTCAAGGATCCGTGCTGCTCAAACAAGCTATAGATATTTCTGCTCCATAATGAGAATCTTAAAACAGTAGAATGGAAAGGACCAGAATAATCACCTGGTTGGGCCGCTGATTTTACAGAAGAGAAAACGTGTCTCACAAAGTTAAATGATTTGCCTAAGGTGACAAGAATTAATATGGAAATTTGATCATTAGAAGTCATTCAAAATACTTGATAAAATTTGGAAAGCACTTTAATTTATAAAACCTTTTCTATGGTGGGTTATTAGGACCACCACTGGCCCATCTAGTGCCTTTTTGAGAATTGGAGAAAGGCACTTCTTCTCAAGACACTTCTGTCAAAAAATTGTCAAACATGTAATCTTTCAGAACAAACACTTTACTACCGTCATTATTGATCATTTAAGTACATGGCATAATATTCAATGCCTATGATATGATTAGCTCTCCCTTAGGTGCAGTGCACAATTTGCACAGCCATGCAAGTAGCCAATATTCTCTGTACTGTATAGATCACCTTTCTCTACAAGGCTTTACATTTGTGGATTGTCTGCAGTGAAACTACATTTATCAGACATGAATTCCACTGGGAAGGATCCAGTGAGGAAAGCTTCCTGTTTTAGAGCAATGCTTATTAGTCACTGACAGCTAATCTGCTAACTTCCTTTTTCCAATTTTGTTTTAGTCCTAACACTGATTTTTAATTTTTATTAATTAACAAGAGTTATGAAACGTAGTGTTGAGTCCTAACTTTGAAGGTTAACAGGTTCTGACCCTCTACTTTATTGGGTTAGTAAAGTAGAAAGTTTCTGGTGTCTTCCAGTGTTCTGCTGATTGATAAAATATACTACATCACTGCATCAACCCGGAGAATCCCACTGCCAGCCTTAGAGCCTGATGAAACCTCATTGATACTGCCCCTCCTTTTGTGCGATTGAAGATGATTCTGGGCTGTTGCCAGGCACAACTAATGCAGCAGCCCAGCACTTGGCTTCAATTCATTTTGAAGTTCATTTCTTCTAAGCCAGGTTCTTGGTGAAGCTGGCACAGGGTGAAGCAAGCCCCCATACTTGATCAGAATGCAATAACTCCAATAAAGAAAAACCATGCTTGTCTTATTAGCAAACTGTTGACAAAAGGAGCTTTTTCTTCTTAAGTTGAGGAAAATACTTAAAAGAAAATACTTAAAAAAAAGAAATGAAATGGGATTTAATAGAGGAAAAAACTGGAATAGACTATAAAATAGAAGATCAAGAGAAAAGATGAGGGGCGTGGATTACTAAAATACTGTAATAATGTTTAAAAAAAAAAAAAACCTTAAAAATGTTGCCTGGCACAGAGTGGTACCATTTAGTTTCTGGTCTATGAGATTTGAAATTTAATGTTGGTGGAATTACACAACCATTATGCAAATGGTTCAATATGTAAAATGCTTAATGAAGATAGTGGTCCTTTTCAGGGTCCTACTCATCTGTCCTTATGTTAGAGGATGACATTCTTCAGAGTTCTTTCCCAGCCTCTGTTTTCTTTCCCTCTGTTTGTTCTCTCTGGATGTATGCATCCTACCCTGTGGCTTTGAATATCACTATCTCTAGGGAATCCCCAACTTGCTCATCTGAGCTGCTGAGTATGATACAACTACCTACCAATATCTTTGTTGGGGTATCTCCCTGACTTCTTAAACTTAGGGTTGATTCAAGAGTTTGTAGTATAAACTAGTGTTTCTCAGTGGGGCCAGTCTAAGAATTGCCCCCAAAAGAAGTTCTTCTCCCTCATTGCCCATCTCAGGAAATGGCGACCACTATCCTCTTCCTGCTGGGGATGCAACCCTTGATTCTTTCCTTTCTCTTACTCCCATATTCAGCAAATCAGGACTTCTTCCTCTTCTCCACTGAATCCATCCTTGTCTTTCTACGCATGTACAGCTAGCCTCATCCAGACTTACTTTCTCAATGTCCATTCTCCTCAGCAGACTCGTTAGTCTTTCAAAGGTACAAATATGATTATGATCTTTCCCTGACTCATTTTCCTAATTACAAGTATTTTCTGGGATCACTTACCAAATAAACTACTTGTCCTTGAAACGTTGTCTCAGGGTCTGCTTCTGTGGGAACTCAAACTAAGATTCCAGTATATTTTTAGCACCCATCATGAGGTCTGGCATGTAGTAGTGTATATATACAATATATGTATATAGAGATACGTACATGTGCTGACATATTTACAA